AAAGACAAGTGTCTCTGACATCTCTTTTTTTCATTTTTATGACAGCAAATTTAATTTAATTACAGGTGCATTTTAGAAATCATATTACCTCACCATGATCCCCTTGACACCTAGAATACGTTCCTTTTTTTAAAAAGACTTTTCCTGCATAAACCAAAGCTTCAGGCCCATCTTTGATATAATGTAGCAATTCCCTTTACTTCTCTTTGTAAGTAGCATTGGTACCCCCCATACTTTGCATACTATGTCACAGATCTTTGGCAGTGTTGCCTGAAATGATAAAAAAACATGCAGAAAGAAAACCTGTAGATCAGTTTTAGCAAAGCAAAATTGCCTTTTCTGGCACACAGTTTGGATGGTTTTGGCGCTGGTTCAGGCAAACAAGGCTTGATACTTTGATTATCACAAGCTAACTTTAATTGTGAAGGAATCAATTTAATGTTGGGGTAAAGGTTCATGTATGGTTAGGGTCCGAGCTCAGGGTGTATGCTTTAAGGGCATTGTGTTACATGTTTTTGCGTAAACTAAGGGTTAAGCTTAGGGTGTGGTTAAATGCTAAATGTTAATCTGGAGGTTAGCCTAAGTTTTAGTGTTCAGGTGAGGGAAAATTCAAGTCTGAAGTATGGCCCAATGCCCATATTAAGGTTAGGGTTTGGGTGATATGGAGGAAAGGTGTTTTCTTATTAACCTATGCTAGGTTCTTGGCACTGAAGACCAGTATATTTGTGAATCTGGAGAAAAGCAGCGTAGTTGCCCATACCTACCTAAGATTCATTTTTAATTTACTGAAGAAATAAAACAGGAATTCTGCTTTGCTTGCTGTGGGAAACTGTTCTATATTTCTCCAGATTTTCTTACTGTAGTTTTCACTCCTTATTTAAGCCGACTACTGAAGCCAACTATTGCAGCATGCTTTGTATAGTATATTTTTAGATCCTTTTGTTGTAATAATATATGTTTAAAAGCCAACAAATTTGGGAATAGCTGTTTTATATCCTGATGAGGATCTCAATGGAGGTGATATGCTGCCCTCTTGTGGGCCCAAGGTCAGTTTTTAAGGGACCTGAAACTGCAATTTCAGGACTGGTTACCATGGAGCTGTCATTTCCACTGGGATTTGTTTCCAGTATGGCAGCTTTCTTGAAAGACTGCATACATGTGAATGCACAATAATAGTCCCCTTCAGCTATTTCTTCACACATCCCATTACATTACTGCCCCTTTAATGTAAGAAAAGACATCACTGTATTTAGATTACATATGTATAAGCATTCTTGCAAAGGAAATATAATAGTATAAATAAAGGTTATTTTGTTGCTTTCTCCCTGATTGTATGCTGGCCTACAAATATATGTGATGAATTAGAAAAAAAATATTTTAGCAACAAAAAGGAAAAGCTAATTCACCTTCCCTTCGTTCTGTCCAAGAATTTAAGCTGGGTGGAATATTTTCACATGCCCCAACACGCATACAATGATGATTCAGAAAAATGAGTCATCTTTTTTAGGAATAACATTTCTTAAAAACAGAGCATGCCAATGTCAAGAAAATGCATTCGCACAGATAATTGTGTTTTGGCCCAAAGGGGAACCAGTATCTAGTAACCGATCAGCTTCCAATTTTTTTGTCAAAGCTTAACTGAACAAGCTGAATTTAGAAGCTGATTGGCTACCATGCAGAGCTGCACCAGATTTTTGCACTCTCCAGTTTAAGTAAATCAACCTCAGAGGGTCTTTGATCAAACACATTGAGACCCTTTGCCAAAACCCTTAACATCAAATTATGCTATTTATAGAAATGCAGTATCTTGAAGCCTATAGTCTCTTTTTAAAACTTGGACTATGTTTGTTCATTGTGTGCTTATCACCCTTTTTTTAAATATAAATCACTAAACGCTAGTGTGTTTCCATTCAGAGTTTCGCTTTAAGGTCTGCAGTTCTTCATGTTATAAAGAAGGTGGTTTACTCAAGCTTGCAAACTTTCACAGTAGTAATTGCAGGTGATTGTGATACGACTAATTAATTTTTACTTCAACAAATGAGTTTTATTCTTCATTAGTCTCCAGTAGGAGGGAGACATTGTATGCCATTATATCTTTGTCTGGAGAAACAATGGAGCGTTACAGGTCATCCCCGAGTCTTGTCTTCCTTCTAATTAGTGGAGCTGACAGCATTGTTACTGCAACACCTGCTTTAAGAGAAATCGTGTGACACACATACCTGTGGCATGTCTTTAATATTTTAGAAGACCCTTGTATCAATTTTGTGGGCTGTTAGGAAGACATTAAATCGAAGACAATAGTTTTGAAAAACATTAAATCTAGTTGTAAAATATGTATAGACAGAATACCAGTACAGTTAAAGCATATGCCAAGGCACAACAAAATCAAGCCAAAAAAAAAACACATTTAGCACATCTCTGAAATACATGCGTGTTCGCCCATATTTTATCTCTTTATACACACTGCAAGTACAGAAAAATAACTGCTATGCCAGAAAAGTAGTGTACCTCTACTTTCCTCTTTGATAACATATTTGCCTAATCCTCAAGCATATGGTGCTAGCCCTGTCTACTGTAGTTCTAATGGATTTTAAAGAACACAGACATTTCCTCATCTCCTCCTTCCTTCTCATCTCCATAATCCCTCCTCCATTCCATAACCCCAGAGAACACAGGAGGTTATCAGCTCACACAATTTCTGACAAAATCAACAAGTAATTTTTATACTTATCGAACAGATGCAGTTTTTAATTAGATTAAAAAAGACAAAAGCATTACATACACTCACCGGCCTTTTTATAAGGTACACTTGTTCAATTGCTAGGTAACACAAATCGCTAAGCAGCCAATCACATGGCAGAAATGCATTTAGGCATCTAAACATGGCGAAGACGACTTGCTGAGGTTCAACTGAGCATCAGAATGGGAAAGAAAGAGAATTTATGTGGCTTTGAACGTGGCATGGTTGTTGGTGCCAGACGGGGTGGTCTGAGTATTACAAAAACTGTTGATCTACTGGGATTTTCATGCAAAACCATCTCTAGGGTTTACAGAGAGTGGTCCAAAAAAAAAAAAAACAATGAGTGGCAGTTGTTTGGACGAAAATGCCTTGTTGATGTCAGAGGTCAGAAGAGAATGGGCAGACTAGTTCTAGATGATAGAAAGGCAAAAGTAACTCAAATAGCCACTCGTTCCAACCAAGGTATGCAGAATACCATGTCTGAATGCACAACACTTCAAACCTTGAAGTAGATGAGCTACAGCAGCAGAAGATCCCAGTTCTGTCAGCTAAGAACATGAAACGGAGGCTATAGTTTGCATAAGCTCACCAGAATTGGTCAATAGAAGATTAGAAAAACATTGCCTGGTCTGAAGAGTCTCAATTTCAGCTGCGATATTCAGATGGGTAGGGTCAGAATTTAGCATAAACAACATGAAAGCATGGATCCATCCTGCCTTGTATCAACAGTTCAGGCTGTTGGTGGTGATGTAATGGTGTGGGGGGGATATTTTCTTGGCACACTTTGGGCCCCTTAGTACCGAATGAGCATTGTTTAAATGGCACAGCCTATGGGATGTGATGGAACAGGAGATTCACCTCATGAATGTGCAGGTGGCAAATCTGCAGCAACTGTGTGATGCTATTATGTCAATATGGACCAAAATCTCTGAGGAATGTTTCCAACACCTTGTTGAATCTATGCCACAAAGAATTAAGGCAGTTCTGAAGGCAAAATGGGGTCCATGTATAGTGGATAATAACACTATGAACAGTATTAAATACCCAACTCTACTTCATTCCAACATTTCCAGTATGTTTTACAATAAAATAGGAGCAAGAAAATCAACAAAACACTTTTCATGATATATTTAGCAGACCAAAAAGGAGCAAATAATAGAGATTCTTTGTTAGAGTTTAAATATATTACATATGTTTATAGTGGGAGGTATCTTGGTGGACAAGTACATTTAGTACCAGAAAGGAATCCTAAAGAAAAAGAGTACATTGATAAAGCTGTGAATGTGATATTCACCAAACATTCATGCCAAACAAATGTGTTCATCTTTTTCAAATAACGATGAATGATTCACTAGCAGTGAATGTTTGGAGAATATCACATTGACTGTTTTATTATAAATATGCCCCAGTGAAGAAATTGTACTTCTATTTTGGTTTGCACTCAGCCCAGCAAGAGGCTGGCGGGGTTTGGGTGTGCTGGAAAAGGGTCTGTATACAAGCATAAAATGGGGCCATACCAAGTCATTAATACACTTGGATTTAAGGCCTTGCATGTTTTGGTTAATGGGAAAAACAAAATAAATGGATTACATGGCATTGCTTTGTTTCTATACTCTTGGATTTAATTTACTTAAACATCAGGTCTGTTTTACTATGCCACTTCCCTTCCGCCAAGCCCACCCTCCTCCCCTTGCTGTGGCACTTGTTATGTAGCTTGTTATCTTTTAGATTACAATTGATTACAATTTTTTCTTTACATATTTCAGATCTTACAGATCTGGATGTGATGCCCTTCTTGCTTGCAATCTAGAGAATCACATATTACTGTCATTTTGTACACTTACTGATGCTCTGGTGCCAGTTGTTTTAGGCACTTCTACATCTGGAACTGTTTTCCAGACTTTGCTTTGTCTTATATTTTTAAAATGAAAATACATACCGTTTAAACAAAAAATGTAGAGAATCACAAGATCAATTAATATTTTTACAGACATAGGGATGATGGAAAGATTTCCATTCTACCTTATTGTTTTTCTAATCGATAAAACTCAGGTATGCAATCAGGTGTCCCCAATGCATGCACATTTTTCAGTATACTCAGTCCTGACCTACCTGTATTTTATTTGGCCAGTATGGTGAGTATGGCAACCTCATTAATGCTATCAGTTTCTTATTTTCTGATACATAAAAGCTGAAAAAAGCATTATGTTGTTCCGGTATGTTTTGCTCTGTTAGTAACTATTTTACAATTATATCACAGGGAACCGTAATGAAGTTGTCATCACAGAAAACAACAACAGCATCACAGAGCAGATCACAGATGTTGTAAAGCAACCTGCCTTCATAGCGGGAATCGGTGGTGCCTGCTGGGTAATTCTCATGGGATTCAGCATATGGCTCTACTGGCGCAGAAAGAAAAGAAAGGGACTCAGCAATTACGCCGGTAAGACATGCAATCAGAATTATCTTGCACTATAAAACCCTAAATTGCTATTCATAGTTATCATAGACAGTCGTGTAAGCATATTGCCGAATGCAGAGTAATAACTCAGCATTGTGTATTATTTAGTAAATACCAGGGAATTCCACATACAATATAATGAAGCAGAGCTTTGACTTACTTTGTATATATTTCTAAATATTTAAAGCAGAATTAAACATCTTCAACTACTGATGTTGTGTATTTTATGTTAAATTTAAAGCAGCTCATGTGATTTGGGAATTTAATCAATTGCTCATGCATGTTGCCATTTTATTGGAAAGTGTGTTCCATATGCCTACCCACTGGCTATAATGGTGAGAAATATTTATAAAAAAAAATTCAAGAAACACGTATTATATACAGTACATCACTATTCCATTTAGGATTACCTAGCAAGCCAAAGCATCATTGAAACAGTGTAGTAACCCACAGCTACTTATCTGCATTTAACTTCCATTGCTCTTACAGCTTAGTACAGAGGAAAGTGGAAATCTGGGGGAAAATGTGCACATTACGCACATTATAGCTGCTCCTTGCATTGGCATGTTGATGTATAATTATTTACTTATGTGGCAAGCCAATGTAGATTGGTGTACAGTATATTGGGTGCTATAATACCTCCTTTTGACCTCTATCATAAAAAGAGATTGTTGTATACCCATAACACTTCTATAGGCACATATTCACAAACAGCTGCACATCTGAGCATGCCATTCAGAACCTTGGATTGTATGTATATAGGAAACAAATTTTCCCACAGGGTGAACAGGAGGTTTTATTGACCTGTAGATGTTTCTCTGCTGGAAAAAATTTGCTGGGATTGTAGGCCTGATACCTGTGTATGTGGAGGTTATCATTCTACAATTATTTGCTTTCCTGTGAACAATTTTATAAAATAAAGGGAGAAGTTGGGGTGTTGCCCTAGCATGCAGTCAAATTACAGTTTTGATTGTTCAACAACATGCTAGATAATACAATACTACCAACACTTTCCATAAATATAACTTCTTTATGGAGTATAATAAACAAATTTGAGAGCTTCCTCATTATCATGCCTCTACCAATAGGAAAAAAACAAGATTTCTTAAGTCTGGGTCAGATTTGGGCCATGTAGCACTTTTTTTACCTCTATTGTTATGCCGATGGCATAGCCCATTGTAAGAAATTTTCAGTTCATTGAAAACACTAATTCTTAACTAAATCTTCAGCATTATGTTTCAAAGTAAGGCACTTATATTTTGACCTCTGTTTCACTTTAAGAAGCATATACAGAACAAAATAATTCCTGCAGTCCTCAGCTACTCTAGCATGGTATTTCAAGACCTAGGAAGCTATAGATCTTTGCAGTGCAAAAGATCAAATGGATAAGATGTTAGATCAAACCAATAGTACTTAGGAAGGCTGATCCAACTTCTTATATTGTGGCTCCATTTACTCTGGACGGGGGAGTCAATTTTGAACTCTCCAGTGCAAAAGATCAAATGGATGGAATGTTGGAGATCAAACCAATAGTACTTCAAAGGCTGATCCAATTCTTAATGGGTGTGGCTCCATTTCTCTGGAGACGGAGAGTCATGTCAGATGTTTGACAACTTATCATTTCTTACAAAGATCTAATTCTAGCTGCTTGTTGGAATATGGTGGCAACATGAAATAGATAGATACATAGATAGATAGATAGATAGATAGATAGATAATTTAATTAAGGCTTAGTGACAACCACTAAATCTAAAAGAAAAATAAAGACTGGCCTATTTAGAATTTATTTATTTATTTATTTATCGAGTTTATATAGCGCCAAAGGGTTTGCTCAGCGCATCGCTGTACAATAGAGGGGGGCAGAACAGTAACATCAAAAGCAGCACACGAGGGGGTTAGAGGGCCCTACTCTTTCGAGCGTACAATCTAGGAGGGAGGGGTAGAGGCACAGGAGGAAACGGCTGTGGGGGATGGAGTGGTACAGGGCATGTTAGGTTAGGGTGGGGAAGGCTTCCCTGAAGAATTAGGGTGCGAAAGGTGAGAGGGAAGGTGACATGATGGATTGGGGGTAGTGTTCCAGAGGATGGGGGAGGACCTGGAGAAGTCTTCAGTCGTGCGTGGGAGGAGGAGACAGGGAGCAAGATAGAAGGAGGTCCTGTGAAGAGCGAAGGGCGGGTAGGGTGGTACCTGGGAATGGTCGGGAGGTAGTTAGGGGCAGTGTTGTGAATGGCCTTATAGGTCAGGGTGAGCAATTTAAATTTAATGCGTTGGGCAATGGGGAGCCAGTGGAGGGAGAGGCAGAGGGGGGTGGCAGAGGTGGAGCGGCTGGTGAGGTGGATGAGTCTGGCCGCTGAGTTCAGGATGGTCTGAAGCGGGGAGAGCCTGCACTGGGGTAGGCCGGTGAGGAGGGAGTTGCAGTAGTCTAGGCGTGAGATAATCAGGGAGTGTACTAGTAGTTTAGTGTGTCTATAAGGAAGGAGCGTATGGCGAATTGCGGAGGTGGAACTGCATGTGTTTGTGAGAGATTTGATATGAGGTTGAAAGGAAAGGTTTGAGATATAATTTAACTAAATATGCATATAGATACAAAGGTAGAAAATAATAGAAAGATGATAGATAGATAGATAGATAGATAGATAGATAGATAGATAGATAGATAGATAGATGTTGTGATATAGAGGTATAATAACAAGCATAGAAAATGGTGTCAGGTTTTCCAGGACAAAGAATCAATATAATATGGGGAACACTTTTCATGCTGCACAGAAGATTAAAAGAGTTTACAGGTATTGAGTGGCCAATATGATTCCTTGTGAAGGGAATTTTTTTTTCTTTGAAAGTGAAGTTTCTATTTCTGTTTACCCTGTAGTAAATTTGATCTCAGTGACACGAATAGAGGACAATCTCTCACTATAATTTGGCAGGATGCAACATGCAATTTTAAAATGATGATTCTAGTACACAGAATTGTCCTTATATTCTACAAATAGAAAAATATTATGTGATAAACTCAGCTATATTTTACTTAACAAAAAATGGACAAATCCCAGTAGCTAGGTAACCAACCTCTTAATTTTGCATCTTCTCTTTAATTTTCTATTATTTTTCATAAAGGTTCTGGTGGCTTCTTAAAGTGAACCTAACCTTGCCTAAAAAAGAGCCTATACTACTGAAGTTCAGGCACCTTATGGTCTTCTCTTTAATCCATGTAAAGTCCCTTGGATTCTAGACATGGGCTGAACATTGAGTCTCAATTTCTCTTTATACCCTGCCCCTCTCAGTGCTAATAGCCCCCTTTATTTACTGTCATTCAGTTGTCAAATGTCAGAGCCTCAGTGAACAGTTAAGATTAACTATTTAACAGCTGAATTTCCAACAATTATATTGACTATATACTCAATATTAAGGCAAAAACAACAAAAACAAGAAAGCCCTAAAAGCTTGCAAAACCGCTATGTGTTTATAAAAATTAGATTTAGATTAGGGCATGTAAGCAAAGTGGAAAATCCAGTCCCTTAAGGAAACCTAAGATTACCCTGTAATCTGGGTAAATATCACTTATAATTTGGGAAAACCACACTTATAATACCAGGTACCAATATGGAATGAGGACATAAATGCAGCAGTAAATGTAAGAAAAACAGCTCCACTAGGAAATCAAAAAGATACATAGTAAGACCTTGGCCTTGGTGATTACTTAAATATTCATCTAAAATATGATACATGCTAAAGATATTTAGCAAGATAATGCAACAAGCAGTGTACCAATGTGCACACACAAAGCAATGTACTAATAATGAAGAAGGATAATGAAATGAAAACAGGATGCAGGGATCGATTTGAAAAGGAACACTGATACTTGCAAGCTCAAGGAGTTATTTGCAATTTAGTACTGTTGTTACCTTACTTTTTAGACCTAATTAGATTTTAATTGCTTTGGACTAATCACATCATTTTCAAAACAAGTTTTTATACATTTGGCTGAAATTCTTTGGAAAATAACATTTTTAAAAAGTATAATTGTTTTAGTTTTATCTATTTCTGTTCATGACTGATGCAGCTATATTATGTTTATATGCTTAAAAATACAGATATGGTATACAAATACTTTTATTGCACTGATTATATGGAACACATTTTAACACATTTTCACAAAGTACAACATTATTAAATATTATTATTGACTGCTTTAAAATGAATAGCAGTTGAACCAATGTTTACATTCATTTCCTGCTGTATCACTGGCTAAAGCATGTAAGCACATTCCATGAGACAATTCCATGAACTCAAAAACTGAATTTTGTGAACAAATAAAGATTTTCAGCTCATCTTTTCATTGGCTGGGTATTTCTAATGTGTCACTTGCTCTCAATATCCATTGGCTGCTGAATGGCTACTGCTTCAAAACAAGTCATTTGCCATCTCAAAAAACAGTGCATTCACCATTCTAATCTCCAAATTGTCATTTTACTGTCCTAAATCTTAATTGGTAACTTAAGCTGTCTTACTTTCTTGTTTTGCAGTTCAGTCCTTCACCTTTACCCCTGCAGGTACTGTCCATTAGTCTGTGTTACTTCTTCACCACCATATCATTGAAAGCATTAGCTCTCAGAATTAAATATAATTAAGTCACATCAGGATAATTGATACCTCTCATTTTCAATTAGAATCTGGCCGCTAATCATTGCTTTAGCTTTCCTTAAATAGCCTTAGATTGTCTTATCCATAATAGTCTGTCTCTTCCAGAAATGCCCAAGGCTTGCTCATTACAACTTTTACATAAGTTCTCACCCGTCATCCTTCAAGAAAAATAGTTTCCAACGGGTTATATTTATTTCTGAGAGATGAATATATCATCTGGCCTGCTTAAATGATGAGTACAGCTCAGCACGCAGGGAAATATTTATTCCAAGAAGAATATATAGCTTGAAACCATTACTTCACCAATTATGCTCTAGATACATCCTTTGCGCCATTTACACTGCAACATAGTTGATTCCAAGTTAACTTTTTTCTTATACAAAATGGGCAAAATGTCCTTTTTCTCTACATCCTCTGCTCCCAGATTCCCCAGATACAGGCATGCACCACAAAGTTGCACTTGGCACAAAGAAGGGGAGCTGGCATAAAGCAGGTATATTCATTTGATATAATGAACAAAAACCTTATAAATTTAAAGGTGCCGGATTTATAGAGACTATAACCCACTCATGACTATTTGATATCATTGTAAAACTAAACCTGGGTTTAAAAAGTAGATTTTTTTTTTACTATATGTAGTGTGCCTTCCAAGGGTCCTGCATCATCACACCCTGGCTATGCTGTGAGCACCTGTGTACTCAGAGACAGAGGATCTGGGGATCCTCAAATGCATCCTTCCCTGTTGCTTGCTGATATCTTTGGCAAAATCAAGCAAATCAAGAGTGCATGAAGGTACTTCTGGTTCATGGTGCTTTTTAGATTCAATATATTGGTCCATTGCCAGATTTGAGGAAAGCTTTCCTACTCTGAGTGGAGGAAGCAGAGTACCCCTTTCCCCTGTGAAACAGCAAAACTGAGTGATGCAGATGAGAATGTCACTATGACTCCCTTTGCTTCATTGTCATGGTTCTGATGACCAGAGGGAAGGGCTGTGAAGAACCCATTGAAGGTCCACTACTTTTTATTTTATTTAATTTTATGTATTTATTTATTATTTTTAAGCAGGAGACTTTTAAAAACTCTGTCTTTTAAGACAGAAGGTATTTGATAATTATCACCTTCTAAGATGAAATAAACAAGGATTTATTTTTAATTTTAAAGATTTGTTGGTCAAAGTAATTTGTGTATGCTCCTGTAGCTAAATGTGCTAGATCCAGAACCACTGTATTATAAAACATATACAGTTTAATATATCTAGAGGCTTATATGCAGCCAGTATATAGCTAGTTCAGTGGGAGATATGGTCCATGGTTTCTACCATGTCTTGGAGAAGACCTCTGTGAAAGAACAACAAATCTTTAAATGAAAACCTTAGTTTCCAAGACTATGTATTAAAAAAAAGAAAAGAAAAAGATTGAAAGATGATATATGATGCCTTCTGCATTAGGGGGCTCTTTTTTCAAATTTTGGGGTTCTTTTTGGACCATCTCCCCATAACCTTAACACCATAATTATGATATAGAAAATAAAAATTCTGGGAAGACCATTTAAGACTTGACTTATTATAGTAAAAATGTAAGAACTTACAACTTTACAGAAAACAAAATAAAGGAATGTTAAATGAATTGATGGATTATTTTACTGTGCTGTATATAAGATTGTAGTTTGCATGAAAGTTCAACTTTGACTGCTCAGCAAATCCTTAGCCTTATGATTGAAACTTTCCAAAGAAAAAAATTGTCTTTAATGAACCTAGCATGCATTCTTTGTGACATGTTCCTAAGCAGATTATAGGAAAAAGATAACTGGTTGCTAGGGGCATTATGGACACTTCTAGAGACTGCTTGAAATACTCTCAGCCCTTTAGGGCTTTTACAGCTGAGGTATGGCACCCTTACATGAGCCAATCAAATTTAGCACTGTGTATTACATACTATGCTAATTGCTGATTGCTATGGATTAGTTGCTGTAGCATTTTAATAAGAAAGAACAAACAAAGGCTGATGGAAAACCATTTTTATGGATGTCTTTATGTAGTCAGAATCACTGCCTAACAAATATATAAGGTAAAAAATGGTTAGAAGTTTCACTATAATATTAGAGTCAATGACACTGTGCAGTCAAGTATGCCCTTTGTGATCAGAAGCAACAAATTGTGCTGTAGTCCATTAACTGAGCCCAGAAGCTTAGAGAAGAATATGAATACCTAGGATAGCAGAGCTTTATGATAACAGGAAAGCACTGTCAAGCAAGAATGCATATTTTAATTGCAATGAATCCTGACAGGCCTACCCATATTGATTAAATACTGACTGGTTACAATGTTTTGCTTGCAGTGCTCATTCAGTCAGCAACTATCTGGATTTCATTATTACATTTTTTAATCTTCTTTTTAAGGTTTATTACAAGAATGTCTTGCATTTTAATTTAAAAAAACCTATCCACATTCCACTTAGATTAGCCGTATTGCTGACATGATAATATCAGCTGAAAGGCAAAGCCTGGTTTGTTCTTCACATTCCACATAAACTTCTAGGCCTCTTCCTTTGTATTTTATTAATGCACCTGCATGGAGCTCTTGTACTGTAAACCCTAAATTGTCTCTACCTTTGTGGCACGTATTGTGTGGATATCCTCACTGTATTGTATATTATACCTTTATGTATTCACAATTCTGAAACTTTGCATGCACCTGTCACTTCATATGGGACAGGCAGCTATTTTGTGTTTTTGCTTCAAACTATGTCACTAGCTTGGGAATTCAAAATGGCTACCTCTAAAGAAAAAACAAGCATGACAGTTGCCTATATTACTACTTTGCAGCGAACAATTTTGTGTGGGTTCAGAAACAAAATCAGTGTAATAATCACTCTTGACTTCAGTACAACTTGTTCTAGTTCCTGAAATGAATTGATAGACTTACTTTTCTGAGTCATTGCCTCCCCGCACAAAATGTCTGACTGCATTGTCCATAGAGAACAACTGCACTTATCCTTTTGTTCATTGTAATGTCATTTTAAACATTGTCTGGCTTATTCAGTAAGAACACGTGAAAAATATTGTTGAAGAAGACCATAGATACTAGTCAGATGTTAGATTGCTGCAGTCAGCTGTTTTAAGAGTTAGCTTCTGATTGGTTGCTATGGTTTACTCCACTTTGCACATCTCTGTGCATTTGTCACTTTCTTATTGAATCTGCCTATGTCACTTGCCTTGAAGCATAGCCAGTCAGCAATCTCATATTCCAATTGCACACTTTGATTTTTTTCAATGTAGAGCTAAGATATATGATTCAATCCTAAACTTCAGAATGTACATACTTTTACTGTATGTGTTGTTCAATATTTCCAGATATCTACAAAATATCTATATCATATTGCAACATATGTTATAAATAACCGATTTCGTACATGCAGCATTTCAGCTGTACATTAACATATAATAGATTGTTATAGCTTTGAAACTTTAGCCTAGAGGCTACCTACACTGACCATTATATGATTTCCTGAAACAAGTATATGAATAACTGAAGAACACTTTTTTAGTGCCAATTGTGCCAAATTGTGAGGGAACCAGAGGGAATGTGATCTTTTTGACCCCTTGCCAGGTGTCCATGGAAGCCTATCTATAAGACCTGATCCAAAGCCAATATGGCTGCTGCATACTCCTTTACACACTGTAAGACACAGTGCAATGAAGTTGGGTTACCTGTATTACTGTACTATACCACCTCACATTTACACAGTATATAATGCTGATGAGGCTAGAGCCTTCTTTCATATATTTCTAGCAATGTGTCTCCAAAAATGAGATCATGACCTTGTCTCATGAATTAGCCTATAGTTTTACACCTTAGTAATTGCAATCTTTAAACAAGCATTGACAATGCCCTCATTTTCTTCCATCAACATGGATTGCAGACCTATTTGTTCATATTTCACATTGAAGTATTTCGTTTGCATGTTTAATCTGAGTATGCCATGAAGAGTCAGGAGGGGGGATGTGCAAATATTAATGGCCATCTCTTTGTACATACGTGATGTAATGAAATGCAATGTGAAATAACTGAAGACTTTAATGAATATTAGTACCTATCACAATCTGCATTAAAGAACACCTACATTTTCCATTAAGCTCTATAGAATAAACACAATAGATTTATGTATGTGGCTGCCCTGAAAATAATTATTACCAGGGCTGCACAAGGCATGGCATTCTAATTAGGAGCACAGGACTCTGAGTTCATCTTTTTCACAACTCTGCCAGTAACTTACTTGTTGTGCATTCTTCATTTCTTCAGTTATTTATTCCCTTCTCCAGACCTTTTCACTATGCAATGCTCTTGTGGACCCTACAAAGTTTTAACATTTTGCTTCTTTTCACCCCTGTCAATGAATTAATTCCTGCAGGCAAGTATTCTGCCTTAGCTGTCATTGTAGTCTATCTGATGCAATAACAAGGAAGACTTACAACCAGGAATTAAAGTATTTCATCCCTTCTGTTATTGTATTTATCTATCTGAACAAGATTTGCACTTAAAATGAAACTGCTCTGCATTCTGAATAATGAGACAATTTTAATTTACTATAGAGACTTCAACTTGTGGCATAAACCTTGCCCATTAGAGTCATTGAGCTATACCCAAACACAAATCCAGTCTCTTACTGGCAAGCAGGGTTTTCTTATTGGAAGGGCCTTTGCACCACATCTGATCAGGGCATATTCCTTAAGTTAAAAAGTCCACAGCAGAATAAAAGTAGTCCGAAACAGGCACAGAAAAGCTTCTTCTGTACAAGAGATGCAATAGCAGGCACCACTTTTCATTCTAGATGAGTTCACTTTAAGTTAACACTTAAGAATAGGTCTACATTAAGCTCAACTCATATAACACTAGAAAGAGAAAAACTATAGGTATTGAATCATATAATCAATATTGTATAAGCAAATGACAAACTTCTGATTTTGTAAAGGCTTAAAGGTGAAATATATCCTCAGTTGATGTTTCTTCTATGTTTTAATACACAGTAACATTCCAAAGAGGGGATGGAGGATTAATGAGTAATGGAAGGTAAGTTGATTTGAAAAACCCACAAAAACAGTCTTATAATCCTATTTTTTTGTCCTTTATTTTTCTGCATGTAGGCCAAATGCTTGCGGCATTAGATATTGCAGGTCAACTGCATTGGATATTGCAGGCCAATTCTATCACCTCTCTAATGATCTCATATGTTTGGCTACACTTCAGGAGAAAGTGACACAGATGCTTTGCATGTATCTCCCTGAAGTCTGGGAAATAAATAAATGAGTATTATGCATTGCAAGTGATGTGTTCATTTGCAAGTGGAATGTTTATTACATTAAGTAGATATTAGCAAATGAAGTTGCTGTTGTTTAAGGCTGCTTATTGGCTCATTGTAAATTGCCGCCAGTGAGCAATTACACATAATCGATCAAAGAATAAATGATTCATGAATGATGGATTGGTCATGGATTGATAGGACTGGATTCCCCTACTTTGGTTACTCAGTTGAAACTGATAAAACCTGATAGTACTCCCATATATCCTCATTTACATTCCCATTGCCAATATGGAGATTGCAATTAGATCTTCGTTATAACTGGCAATATCTTATTTAATCAATATTTTAGCAAAAAGAGATTAGGCGTAATGAGAGCATGTGATGCTGCAAGAAAGTGTCTTCTTTTTATTGCAGTTGCCTAGGAAACACAGGGTTCTCTTTGGGATTGTAAAAGGGTTTTATTGGAAAAAAATGCAATTATTATTATTGCTACTTTTCATTTACAGAGATGCAACTAAAATATTTTTTTCAGCTATTATGCTAATGCATGGAAAAAGTCATACAAAGAGTAGAAAAAGAAAAAACCTTACTATAGTGTAAAAGCAACAAATAACACTTATTGCTTCTTCAACAATGACATTACTATATATTTTGTTTGTCTAGGAGTTTCGGTTGCTGAGGCAACCAAAGGGTGTGCTGATGAATTTGATAAAAATTCACAGGCTGTATATATTTATGTATAGAGGCTGACTAGGTATTCATCTCTGTAGCTTTCTAGTTACAAATAAAAAATATGTAAACGATAATTGCCTCAGGTTTGGGTATGGTCATCTCTTGTTTGGGAACAAAAAGAATGGTCATAGAAGGACTATGGATACGCGAACAATGCCAACTTGCTACAAGGTTTGCTGCCCCTTTCTTTGATTATTTAATAGATAAATGGTTAGGAATGGGGGGTTCACCTTGCATATCTGATTAGGGCTCTTATAAATATTAGCCCTCCACTAACATCCTAAAGATGGAGAAGTAAATGTTTATTGAGCTGAAAAATTCAGTAAACACAGGCACTTAATGCTGCATCAGTTTGATGTCACCATGTGCGCAGTAGGAATGAAATGGCCAATAGTGTTTGTAGGTGCTGCTTTCTTCAGTTTTTATTCTTTACTTGGATGGTCCATCCTCCTACTTTGGACATCACTAGATATTTGAACCAGTGTCAGGCTTTTCACAAAGTGTTGATGGAACACCAGGCTCAAGGGTAAATATAATCTGCAGCTCTCTAACATATCTATGTCCCCAGAGTTGTCCAAAAAGAGTGTAAATGATGAGAGCACCACAAGTTTGTAACTAGCTCAATATCAGAAGGTAAAGTTAATGCATGTATGGGGCTCACAACTATTCTATCATATGTTATCTACTTACTATCTTATGTTATCTTGTCTTTTAGTCCCCATGAGGGGAGGTATGAACCTCTGAAACACAATGGAATTACCTTCTGATTTTTTACTATGATTAATAAACATATACTAGAGTGGTTACAAACTGGTGGTGCTGTTATCTGTTGAACTCTTTTTAAATTGTTCACAAAAATGTATTTACATCTGCAGCCTTAGTGTAAAAAAAAAAACACACACACACAAAAATGTATTAACCTACTTGGACATCAAATCACATTTCACCATGGAAACTGTGCTAAGATCATCGCCCCACATACCTTTGACCACAAGGCCACCCCACCTCTGCAATGTGTGTGGAGAATGGGAGATTAGAAACTACAGACAATCACAAATTAGTGAGCATCTATCTACATTATATACCACAGTGACCCAATTAATGTATTTTCCAGAGCTTTCACCATGCCATACTTATTTGTATGGGAGTTAGAATGCACTCTAAATTGCTCAGTTACACAAGGATGTATTGTAGCTCCAGCCTGAATCTCTTGATATCTCTGATTGATCAGACTACCAGCCTGTGTATGGGCAAGTCAATTGAAAAGTCCATGCCCAGACTTCTGGGATAGTGTTCAGAAGTCTCTGTAGACTGGAATGATCAACACATTAGTCAAAAATGTCAGATAAGAAAAAAAACCCACTCTGGCCTACAAATCCTGTAGCGAGGCTTAACAATGGGGCCTAACAATGGCTCTGGGTAGTTATACCAATAAATAACCATGCCAATCCTCTCAACATTTAGCCACACACACAAATGTGGCCATGTCCAGCTCTGGACAGATTGGCTTGTGTATGGCCAGCTTGAGTCTGCAGGGACTTTCCATTTTAGCAGACAGCACAATATCTGAAATGGCTGCACTTTCTGGGGCACTAGACACAGCCGATAACAGCTGCTTCAGCATTGTATCTCCATGGAAACCCAGAATTTAATGAATGAACGGAAGAAGATTAAATACATTTTACAGTAGTTTAATTCCAGACAGGCTTGTCTTAAACTACAAAGCACAAGAAGAAAAGATCAGCTTGTGGATGACAGACACATATTTGAAATGTGAAAGGTGAAGAAAAAAGTAGCTTAAAGTCCTGGAAATGACTGTTTCAGAGAAGTCACTGTGAGCAATTGCTCCCTTGAGGTGTTCATTTATCACCGAGCCCCGTGTAAGGTTCCTCCCTCACTGATAGCTTACTCCATTTCCTAGGCAATATATTTCATTCAGATTCATCGGAGACGCAACTGATGATTGCACTGAAGCGATTTGCATATTATTAATATATATTTTATACAGATGCAGAAATCTGCTGATAAATAACAATTCTTTTTTTTTTACCCTGCAGTCGTCCAGGACTTTTAAATGCCAGTGACCCCAGCTACCCTTGGCTTGCTGACTCCTGGCCAGCGTCCAGTATGCCAGTGAACAACAGCAACAATGGACCAAATGATTTAGTAAATTTTGGTTGTGCAGGTTGGTATTTCTGTCTTTATTCTAAAGCAAAAATAATAAAATTGAGTTGTGAAAAGTGCCTGCATATACAGATATAATCACACCTAAAGTGTATGTAAACCCAAAAATAAATGATGACTAATTAAATTATGTCAGTATGTCTAGCATTATATTTCACTGGATACAGGTGTCTTAAAGACCAGGTTCAGGTAACTTGAAAATTCTCCCTTGCAGTTGGGACGCAACTGTATTGCAAGGCATTACTGCTTTTTTTTCCATATTTGGGCATTAAAGTGGTTCTAAAAGCAGAAGTTTTTTTTTACCTTACTGCATTCTATGCATTAAGGTTAAAAGCCTTCTGCATGTTGTTCCCCCCCAGTTCCCTTTATACTTACCTGAGCCTGATCTTGATCCAGTGCTGTGCATGAGAGCATCGACTCTCTCAGCTCTCTCCCACCTCATTGGCTCCTGCTGCTGTCAATCACAGCCATTGAGGAGGGGACAGGGCCGAGTTGCATTCTGTGTGTCAATGAACACAAGAGCCAGCTTGGGAGTGAGCCAACACAGATGCCTCTATAACAAACTGCTTGCTATGGGGACACTCAGTGGGGTAGAGGAGGCAGGAGGACCCAAGAAGAGGAAATCTGGGGCTGGTCTTTGCAAAACCATTGCACAGAGCAGGTAGGTATAATATGCTTGTTAATGTAAAATAAAAAATGATCCTTTACAATTATGAGCAAATTATTTTTAGAAATCATTTTGTTTCCTGGAGAACCTGCCAGTATCAGCACTTTCTTTTGCAATGTTAAGCCTATGTTAAGCAATGTTAATTGCCTAGCAATTGACAGCAGTGTTGTCAGCCTGTCATGTAAACTCTTTATTTAGCCTCCTGTGCAGCCCTGTGGCCAACTAAAGGAGAGTACATAGCAAGCTGACAATGTTGCTACTAATTATAAGGCAGTGGCTTAACATTGTAAGCCTGCAACAGGAAGTGTTTTACTGGTAGGATCTCCACAAAGAAAAAATGTTGAAACAGATTCACAAAAAAAAGCTCAAAAACTGTATACTGTGAGGCATGATGATAAAAATTATTTTTTGTATACACTATAAAGACAACAGTTCCTTACTTCTGTACACATTTTGTTATTGAGTATAAGAAAGGCTGAAAAGACACAACCTTTAGCTTTTGACCTTCTGTAACCCCAAAGGCTTGTATATGACACAAGAAATGATGGGGTTATTTACTAAAAGTGTATGGTGCAAAGTTTGGTGCAACTCTGCATAGAAACCAATTAGTTTCTAGGTTTTATTGTCAGAGCTTAATTGAACAAGCTGAGGTTAGAATTTGAGTAACATGCACAGCTGCACCAGATTGTGAGTGGTCCAGCTTTAGTAAATCTCCCCCTATGTGTTATGCTTAGGATCAAACTAGCTATTGCAAACTGTATGATTTGAACTAAAAGTAGGTCCACCTAAATTCAACAGATGTAAACATGACGGGGCACTTTCTTAAGCAGCAAGGCAAGAGATACATAGTGAGATAGTACACATACCCAGCAAAATGTCTGTCACCATTGTTGCAGAGTAGGCCTCATTTGTTGGACTATGTGACAAACAGGATAGCTGTTTTACCCATTGTAGCAGATTATCTCTGTCATTTACTAACACTCATAGAATAAAAGAGATAGAAACTGATTAATTCTAATTGGTAGCAAGGGTTCATCTTTCTGACTGTATAATGAATGAGCTCCACTTTATTAAACTTGTCTGGGTACACATGACAGACCATGGTGCCACATAATGAGAAGTAACGTAACCATTAAATTTTTTAATTCTAAACCCACTTTTTATTCTCCAACCATTTTGATGGTTGAGTTATAAAGACCGATCTAAAGAAATCACAAGGTTGCTCATATTAACCAGTTTCATTCTTTGTTCTAGTTGAAAGCCTGAATGGATACTGTAGCTAACCATTGCACTGTCATGTAATACTTTTTAAGGTTCATCTAGGTACATATGTAGTACTAATACTGTGGAACATCATTTTGCTATGTATGCCAGTGCTAATGTATGTGCTGACATTTTCAATTTTCATTTAAGTCCCAAAAAAAAAAATTACAGTCACATCATTAAAATAAAGATTACTATCCATGTTTTACAGTAAAGCTTTGTGAATCCCACCTTGTGTTCGGGTTTCTTTCTCAAATCATGCCCCATAGCACTGCTGACTACTTTACTTCACAAGCATGTATTCCAGTACTAAGGAACACTTGAAATTACAGTGCCACCCAATAACTACCTTTAAAGGTATAGGTTTCTGTATAATCAGTTGTTTGCCAAAGACTAGTCCCAGCCAATCACACCTATTTGATCAAAAGTATCCATAAAATTCTGTACATATATTGAAAGTAAATGTATAATATATATAGCATCATTTTATATCTTCAAAACATTAAAATGTATACTTTTTTAATAGATGCATTACATTTACAACTGTTATTTACATTGCAACAAGCACTAGTATGGTGCATCCTAAACCCGCCTGTGCCCCAAAAGGCTACATATCACTTGAGAAACTGCAATTCTGAGGGTGCTGAATAGAGCTAATTTGGATTAAAAATATATCAAATGTATATATGTGTGCCTTTAATAGCTATTTATGTCAGAACAATGTATGTCAGAACAATGTATTATTTTGTTAGAAAAATGTATTATTTTGGTAAGAGAAAATTTCATACAGTTGATTATTTGTGCAGTGTTACTAAAAGCCATCCTGAACACAGTACAAAGCTTTGAATGTGTTGAATGTCTTTTTGAGGCCAGAATCAGTTTCAGCGATCAATGTGAATTAGTTCTATAGCAGCTTGTGGTCCTGATCTATCCCATACGAAATCCCCAGAAATCAGAAGCCTCTATTGATCAGCACAGCAGAGTGCAACGTAATCTAATTTTTCTATAGCCCTACAAATTGTCTGATGGTGTATCAACCGTAATATTCATTAAATGAATACATGATTAAAACCACCTTCATACAAGACATTTATAAACAAATTACATGTAATATTTCCATGGATTTATATAGCATTTAGCCTTTGCATTCAACTAAAAGCAAGTTAATTTTTCATACAGGAAAAAAAAACAATTTACAAATAAGCTCTCACATGTGTCAAATGTGCTTCTGTTAACTATAATAGATTAGAACACATGCATGTATCTTTTTCTGAAAATAATAAATACACACATATATATATATATATATATATATATATATATATATATATACTATATTGTCAAAATATTGTCAAAAGTATTGGGACACCCCTCCAATTCATTGGATTCAGGTGTTTCAATCACCTCCATGTCCACAGGTGTAAAAAAAATCAAGCATCTGGGCATGCAGAAAGCTTCTACAAACATTGTGAAAGAATGGGTTGCTCTCAGGAGCTTAGTGAATTCAAGTGTGGTACCGTAATAGGTTGTCACCTGTGCAATAAGTCCATCCATGAAATTTCCTTGTTACTAAATATTCCACGGTCAACTGTTAGTGGTATTATAACAAAGTGGAAGCAACTGGGAACAACATCAATGCAGCCACGAAGTGGTAGGCCACGTAAAAAGACAGAGTCAGTGCATGCTGAAGTGCGCAGAAGTCACCAACTGTCTGCAGAGTCAATAGTTAAAGACCTCCAAATTTCATGTGGCCTTCAGATTACTACAACAACAATGCATAGAGAGCTTCATGATTTGGGTTTTCATGGCTGAGCAGCTGCATCCAAGTCTTACATCACCAAGTGCAATGCAAAGCTTTGTATGCAGTGGCGTAAAGCATGCTGCCACTGGACTCCAGAGCAGTGGAGACGTGTTCTTTGGAGTGATGAATCACGCTTCTCTGTCTGTCTATATATGAAGGTGTCTGGGGTTGCCAGGAGAATGGTGCTGTCAGTTTTTCAGGTGGACCCGATCGGATCATCCATAGGCCTCTATGGGCTAGCGGGTGTCAGCGGATAAGTGTCAGATGGCAGTCATATGGAAACGGACAGGTGGTCCATTTCCATATGACCGCCCCATGGAAGATAGCAGGCAGTAGAAGACAGAAGGCAGTGTCTGTGTGCTCTTCGGACAGAGACCTGTCATCTGCCTGCTCAGTGGGGATCAGCAGAGAGATCCCCTGTTGAGCAGGTGGATCCACTGATGGGTCTGCCCCATCTGAAAGGAGCATTAAGGAGTCAGCATACTAAGGCATTTTGGACAATTTCATGCTCCCAACTTTGTGGGAAAAGTTTGGGAATGGCCCCTTTATGTTCTAACATGACTGTGCACCACTGCACAAAGCAAGTTCCATATATGAGCAAGTTTGGGCTAGAGAAATTTGACTGGCCTGCGCAGAGTCCTGACCTCAACCCGGTAGAACACCTTTGGGATGAATTAGATCAGAGACTGCGAGCCAGGCCTTCTCGTCTGACATCAGTGCCTGACCTCAAAAATGCACTTCTGGAAGAATGGTCAAACATTCCCATAGACACACTCCTAAACCTTGTGGACAGCCTTCCAAAAAGAGTTGAAGCTGTTACAGCTGCAAATGGTGGGCCAACTCAATATCGAACCCTCCGGACTAAGACTGGGATGCCATTAAAGTTCATGTGCATGTAAAGGCAGGCATCCCAATACTTTTGGCAATATAATGTACTGTATGTATATCACTTTTGAATTGGAATACTGAACACCATGCCCTCCCCTAATGTCTATGACATAGAAAGAAGGCATTCTGTAGTTCACATAGAGCTGGCCAGAGCTGATAATACTGCTTGAGATAACACTTCAGAGTACACAGAAACTGTTGAGCTTACTTAATTTCTCTCATGATTTACAGGCATTTTTTTTACTTATCAAACATATATAACAAAATGTTTTAATGCTTTATTTACCAAACCAAAAGGAAGCAAATTATATGAGTTAGGTGTTACATGTACTTCAATAGCTTTAGATTTAAAAATCGTCTTGTGTAGCTATTATATGTCAACTACATCTATTTGTGGCATTTTTCTTCTATAGCAGGACCTTTGGTATCACAAAATGTATTTCCATTAGGATAAAATGCCCTCAACCCCTTTCTAACTTACCTTGGCATCCCTTTACATGAATCAAAGTCAAAGCATGATCAGGAGTCCATTCCAGTGGCTCCGCGTGAGAACAATCTCAGCATTGAAACGTAGGCCATCCATGGATTCATATGTGCAGTGGTATTGGTGGCTGTTAATGTCTACTCTCTTTGCCGTTACAAATATGTGTTACATGGGCAGCAAGAGGGTGATGTATGCATGGTGGCATAATAAAATTGTGCAATTTGGACTGTTGTCAGGAAATATAAAGTTTTACTTGTTTAATCTGTCTTGACATCTACTGCCCATAGTCATAGAGGTCATTTTAGTAATTTTATATATACAGTAGGCTGTCATTTAACAAGGAACAAGAGGAGAAATACGAGACCTGCCTTCAGTAGTTGTTAGGACAAAATAACATAAATAACTATACTGATATATATATATATCTATATATATTACCCTTAGCCAGTGCTTAAGTGCTAAGTGATACACCCCTTATATTAGCTAATTGTCCAAAAGTTGCTGCACATACTCCAATAGGACTACAGTAGTGTTCTTGACACAGATCTCTTCAGTATGGGTAAATCTTCAAACAAGGTTAAAACAAAAACAGAGAGCGCACTGGCCTTGTACAATATCTTCATTATCCCCTTTGCGCCGATGTCACACAAATACATGGCCTCACAGAACTTGGCTTTTTTCCATGGGGCTGCATATTTGCATACCTGTCTTTCTGCTGGGAGCACTCTGCACAGCGCACTCCCAGTGCAAAGACTGGGGTGTCACTGAGAGCCCTGTGTTCCATTCTAACGATCTGGTCCTGGGACTCCCGATTCCGGGTCATATGATTGCTGTGATAGCCACTGATTGACAGTGATCAGTCACTGTATAGCCCGCCCCCTTGTTTTTTTTTTTCTCTATCTTTTGTATTGTATTGTATCTTTTGGCGTAGAGAGAAAAAAAATGTTTGTTTAATGAAAAAAAAAAAAAAAAGGTAAATAAATAAATATTAAAAAATAAAAGAAAAAATACCTAGATCAAGGTTTGATCTAGTTCAGTGCCAGGTAAGTGTTTGGGTCAAGGTCAGGGTCAAAGGTCAAGGTCAAAAGGTCAGGGTCAAAAGTCAGGAGGTTTTTTAAAACATTGGTATCAGTTTCAGTTTCAGTGTGTTGTAGGTAAAAAAAAACAACATGCCCATAACTGTTTTCTGGGCTGTACTACGAGTACAAACATCAAATAACATACACATATATAGTATCGCTGTGATCGTCAAGAGCTGGAAAATTTATTTTGGTTTGTTTTTTGGTGGTAGGTTATGGTAGTACAAACAATAAACACACAGCTAAATTTAAAAAAAATATATTTTTATTTTACTATTTTGGGACAGTTTTCCTTTGATAATATAAAAAAATCAGGAGACATCCATTACAATTTACCACCAAATGAAAGCCCAATTTGTCCTGAAAAAAACAAGGTATGATTCACCTGGATGTACAAAATAGTTGTGATGATATGTACGGTTTTACTAACACGTGTCAACGTTGTAAAATTGTGCTTAGGCATTAAGATTTGTTTTACACTTAGGATTGAAGGGGTTAAAGCCCAGAGCTCTTAGCAAAAGGGTTTGGGCCTCAAAACCCCTTTAGCAATGTGCACAATCAACAGTGACAGAGCATTGCTTTACAGGTCCAATAGTTGATCATTTGTATCCAGTGAATCAAAAACAGAGAGCACACTGGCCTTTTACAGAATCTTCATTAAAGCCCTGAGCTCTAAGCAAGAGGGTTTGGGCCTCAAAACCCCTTTAGCAATATGCACAATTGAGTCAGTGACAGAGCATTGCTTTACAGGTCGAATAGTATGCAAATAGGACTTTGTGAACTATAAATGATGGGGAATTTTCAGGATCTGCCTATTTGGTCTTTAAATGATTATATGGCCATGGAAAACACTGAGGGAAATAGTGCCTTGACCTACTCATCATTGCATTTATTTATATATATATATGTGTGTGTGTGTATATATATATATATATATATATATATATATATATATATATATATATATATACACACACACACTGTATAAACATTGTAGGAGACACCCAAGGATGGGTCCTGGACATGTGCTATGTGGCACCAATATTTGGGTTATGGTCCCTTTAAGGAAATTGTGTACTTTTTCAGGGGTCTCACCCATGATGGGTGAGGAATACCGAGGTAGTCAAGTAATGGAGGGGACTGACTCGCAGTCCTCTCAGTATTAGTGGAGACTTATTTGGGACCCAGATTTTGGAGGTCCAGAGTGACATTCTGGTGGCAAAAGGACCTCCACTCCTTACTACGAGGACTCAGATCCCTACCAAGTTAAACAGCCTCCAGGAAGCAGCACATAAACCAGGAAGCTCTTAGTACTAGGTGTGGAGAGGAGGTGTAGGAGTTTAGAGGAGACCTAGCTGTGCTGCATATGTGCCAAAAACTGAAAACAAATCTGAAGCTGGATGCTGCTAACCCTGGGGTAAAGCCTTTGCTTGACTGTTGTATATCTAATAGTTTGTTTTGTGTTGAAGATAAGCTGACTTTTTGTGTTGCATTGTCTGAAGTTTTTTTTTTTTTTTTTTTGCTGCTGCTGTTTGCTTAAAGATGGTTAGGATATTGTAAAGATGGTCCTGAGGTGCTAGATCCCCTGAACTGTAATATATATATATATATATATATATATATACTGTATATATATATATACACAGTATATGTATATTATCCAGTGTATGTTCTCTTAAAAATGTGTGTGTTCATATTTGCATGTGTCTGTGTTAACTGTCATTCCTTGTTCCTTGCTCACTGTGTCTTCTTTCATGGGCCCGTGTGACTGCAAGAATCATAAGAGGTGATTGAAGAATGGTATTTAATGGTCAGATAGATTTACTATTTCAGTCCTACCCATTCACTAGTTTCTCATTGTTTTTTTGGGAGGAGGGCTGTTGAAGATTTGTGGATTCATTTTCTCATTATTTGTCAATAGGTTAGACAGCTTGACATGAAATGAGGTATGGAGAGGTTTTTTTCCTTCCCCGTTGTGAAATATTCTTAACTTCTCATTCTCCAATGAAGGTATAGTGGAAAAAAGGATAGTTTAGGGCAGTGGAACGTGAAGGACAAGTGCTAGGCCTGTCACCAGTTCGTACAGCACGGCGATAGTTGTACATCATTTTCCCTTGGTTGGCTCACGGACTCTTGTCTCAGCTGAAATGCAAACGTACTGACTGACACATTTATTTTTCCTCTTAAACCTTGATAGTTGCGTCTTCCCTGTGCACCACTGATTTGTATCATTCTTCTCTGCTTAACGTAGATGTACTGCCAACAGCTCCAGGACAAGGAGACAAGTCGGCAACCATGCTATCTGATGGAGCCATTTATAGCAGCATTGATTTTACCACTAAGTCCAGCTATAACTGCCCAGCACAGACCACACCATATGCCACTACACAAATTCTACATTCCAACAGCATCCATGAGCTGGCAGTTGACTTACCTGACCAGCAGTGGAAATCATCTCTTCAGCAAAAGTCCGAATTGACAGGATTGGGCTACTGCCTTCCTGACCAGGGCAAAGGAAACAATGGTAAGTGTTTATTTAAGCTTTTAGTTAAATGCATGATGACACCTAAGTTAGAGATGAAGCATTGGTTGAAATGCAAAATGTGTTCCCCTCTACTAACAAAAAGGAAATATTGCATGCATGCCTTTTTGATAGGTGTAATCTTTAATTCAGAGGTCCCCAACCTCTTGTCTGGTTGTGCCACATATTTACATTTAGCTAACTCTAGCCATCTACATTAAGTATGATGAAAGAGAGCTTAAAAAGATTTGTTTCTATTTTCAACAAACCGTTAAGTGCTGATGGTGAATGGCAAAGTCTGTTCTAACCAGATCCAGTAGATCACTATTTTTCTATGAAAAAATCATCTAGGCTGCTGGAAAGCTACTTGGCTTTTGTGGTACAGTAAAGCTCCATTTTTGGAAACCCATAGTCGAGGGCTGATCAGCAGGTTCTCGTCAGGGCGATTATAACTTGTAGAACGTAAAATGGTTTTCGACATTTTTATTAAAAGCGGAATACTTCTTTTATCAGACAAGATTACTTAGCTTCATGCTTACAGAAAAAAAGCTCAGACAGATGACTGTTGAGTTCAAAAGTATCCACTGATTGGGGACCACTGTTCCAATTTTCAATAACCAACCTCTCCTCTGCGTCTGCATTTCCATTTTGACCATTGAAAAGTCTTCCTCACCACCTCTGCTTTTTTTTTTTTTTGCTGATTGCATGAGGTGCATGAGCTTATGCTGTGTACTAATCACATGATGCCACGGTGACCTTTGCCCTTTAACCCTTAGCCTTAATATACATTCCTGACTATCGTGCTGAGGGATTGTCAAATAGAATGCCACACAACCAGTCACAGGATTTCAGCACCACCAGCTCACACAACAGCTCTGAGAGAAGCGGCAGCCTTTCAGGTTGGTTTCTCAGTGTGTGGAACAGAATATTTAGAATGTTTGAGTGACAGTTTTCTGTGCGCTTTAATATGCGCGTGTGTGCGTGGATTTGTTACTCACTGCATGGAATGGCGTGTACTCTAAATTCTACAGAGCTAAGGGAGTGGAAACCAATGTGCACACAAATTTAGTATTAATTGTATTAATTAACACCATGGGTCTCATATATCACAGAGTCTGAAGGTAAAATTGTTGTTACTATCCAAAGCAACAAAACAGCTCATCCTATTATTTAACATTGTAGTAACTGAAATGATGTGAATAATTGTATTGGTTGCCATAGGCAACAACAAATGTAATTGTGTCCTCTCACATACATTAAAACACTCAGGTAACCCAAAGAGTGGAAATGAATGAGCAAGAAATATTGAAACAGTTATTAAGGTAATCCACTGTGTATCTGAAATAATTAAGAAAATATTGCCCACAGCAAATAATATGCATGTTCATTTTTTCCCCGGAGGAATCTGAATGCTAGCTATTGGTAACAGTTTTCAGTACAGAAATACTGATATATGAGGCCTACTCTGTCTCTGTTGGTACTAAAGTGAAATACCGGTAGCCATTTTGTAATAAGTTTGAGCCAAGAGAACAATCCTCTGAAGTCACTTACAGACAAGGACATCAATAAAGTGCATTTTACTATTCTCCTGTCTATAGAGTGATTTGGTTTATTGCTGGTTACTTCACAGCAAATGCAAAACAGAAAAATGTTCATGAGATGCATTTTACTTTACAAAATGGCTTACTCTATCATATCATTGATGATTTATTATTAACACCAAAATATGAGTATAAATATTTTTCTAATATATTAAAACGCCATTGATATTGTTATCAATGTTTTTATGACTTACCTTTTTTCCTCACATATTATATTGTATAGTATGTTAATAAAAAAAATTCTACTCCTTGCTGTTTAATTTCTATTAAGCATAAATGTTGCTCACACAATAGGGGGAAAAGGAGGGAAGAAAAAGAAGACCAAGAACAATACCAAGAATCAGAAAACTAATGGATCTAATTGGGCCAATGTTCCACTTCCTCCACCTCCTATCCAGCCATTGCCTGGGACAGAAATAGAGCATTATGGGTTAGAACATCAAGAAACTGGGTAAGTATAACTGATATACCACTTCCACCCCTCAGTAAGCTGGAATGGCCCTTGGCCTGGCTTGTGGCTTAGTAGTTTGTGTTGGGTCAGGGGTTTAGTATGCAGGCAGGACACCAGCTTTACTATCTCACAAGTTTTAGTTTTTCAGGTTCGTAAGTGTTCTTGCACAATTCAAAAATGTGCTGGCAACTTCACTGTCCTCTGGATTGATTTTGTTCTATGTATGTTGTGTATTACTATCATAGCAAACCTATACTGTACATTTACTAGAATAAGGACTCATTTTTTTTTTCTGTACAACTTAATGCAATTAGTTGATGCTTTGAAATAAACTCAAATAAATATTCAAAAATCAGCAATATATGAAACATTACCTATACATTTTGGGAAATGCGTATGATTGTTGCCAAGAAAATTTGGTGCTTTGACTGGGTTGTATTGTGGTAGAAATTAACTTTGGCATGTTGCTTAGATGTCCTGTTGTCAGCAGTAATAATGTCATAAAAAGAATCTCTTGGAATGTATTGTTATTGTTGATTTAAATGTTCAATTGTGTGAGCACAGGGAGAAACGGTAAAGTGATAGATTTACATATTATGGATGTTATAATAGCAAAATATAAAGACATTTGAACCAGAGTTTTATATCCCCTAGTTTTATATAGCACCAACACATTACTCAGCACTTTACAAAGTACATAGAACCATTTACGTCACTACCTCCCCCCCAAAAGAGGTCAAAATATAATGTCACTATCACATTTATACATAGAAAAGAACCAGGTAGGAAGGAAGAAAATTAATATTTGAGATGTGGGAGGAAATAAGAGCCCCCAGAGGCAACTCATACAAATGCAGGGAACAGAGGTGGGCAGAGTACCCAAATGACTGGGTCATTGAGTTGGGTCAGTTTTTAGTCCCTACATTCAACAAAATTGGCTAAGTAAAAAAAGCTTAATTTTGTATTATCAGTTGACAGCTAGATAGGAGTGAGCTGTGTCCAGGTCTTTGTGACTTTGAGAGGGGTATCAGCACTTTTCTGGTTACATCTAGTATAAATGGGTGCTTAATCCAAAGAAAGTCCTTGTACAGTGTTCGATCTGCACTAATGGTGTGCCTGCTTGTGCCAGGGACATACAAAGCCCATTGATATAATTTCCCTACTGGGATTAAAACCCAAGTCTCAGAGTTAGAATGCCCACCCATTACTTTATTCTATGGGTCAAAGCTCCCTGTATTAAATCCATCACATTTTAGAGTTACTAGATTAAATAGCTTCAATTAGTTTATAATCATCTATATATTTTGAAAATAGTTTTTAATCATAAGTATACAGTATATATACAGTATATACAATTTGAGTATGTGTTTTCAATGGTATTTGCATTTAGAGCTTTCCTTCCTTCACAGCACATTGAAAATGGATATGTCACTAAGCAAAGACTGTTGCAAAGGCTGCAGAAAGTCTAATACATTTCTAAATGGCTAACTGAAATTTTGCAAAGATGTACAGTTTACCATACAGATAGCCCCTAGAGAAAACATCTAAAAGTCAATGTGAAAAAAAAAAATGTTGAAACCATGACACAATGGGGTTAAGTAAAACTTTAGAGTTGGATAGAGTAAGGGAGGGTTATAATTCCTGTAAGGTTTATGTTTGCTATATGTGTCCCATTGGGGAGATTTACTTTTACTTTCTGTCCTATAGCCAACAGGAATTGAGTGGAAAGGGAATCTCTTGGGGACCCCCAGGTCTCCAGAACTATTGTCCCCATTTGGATAATTTCTCAACACTTACTTTTCTGGGGACAACCAAAAATGTTAAGTTTTCTTTTACTTTCCCTTTCAATTACATTGGTAAACAGGACCAATAGAGAGGGTGAATCTTCCTAACTGGGACACAAACAGCAATAAAAACTGACAAGTGTTGTATTCCACCTCCCTTCTATCCCCCACAAAACTTTTGCCTTTATACTTTAATTCACTGGAGGAATATAGTGTGTTCACTTTGAAAAAGCCTCATTCGATAGACTAATGGAAAATTCTCTTGCAAAGTGAACAGGCTATTTGTTTTTATAAAATTAACCCCACTGGTCATATAAAATGTCACGAACATGTCATAAATAGAAAAAATACAGAACTCCTTTAAACAGAATTTACCTTTATTTATTTACATTATATTAAATTACCTGAGAAAAATAACATATTGTGAATCAAGGAATAGTCTTGATTATTATAGCACCTAAAACATTGGCCACAAAAGCCAAACAGAAACATTGAAGCAAAGGAACAAATAATACATTTTAGTTGTCTGTGCATAAATTTATCATTAATAGAAATATTATTTTATTTTATATAGATTTGTTTTCAATATCTTGCCTGTTCTTTGCTATTTTCAGCTTGTTCCTGAACCTGCCTCTTAAAGGATTAGCTATTGAAATTATTTTTAAACTATGGTGGGAGTGTCTCTGGACACAGTTTGAAATCTCTTATCCCCGCCGAGTAAAAGCCCTTCATGTTTAATACCTAATGGTAGCTTTGAATTGTCTCAAACTTTAAGAATGTAAAGGATGTAACCTATAATTCTCTCAGGTTTTTTGGTATCCCTAGAAAAGGAGCAACATTTTAGAGCATATATGGAAATTCATAGGCAAAAAAAATATGGGAAACTATAACGATTTTGGTCAATTTGATTATTATTATTATATTTTTTTACATTTATATTTGTTTTCACATTTTTACTATTACTAGCAGAAGGTGTTCCTATTCAGTCTCTCTCTCTGTTTGAAACTTTGTATACAGGCTTTTTTTAAGAAATTAGATAAGTTGAGCAGGTATACATTTGCCAAAGCTTTACCTTTTTAGGGATGTTTTACCTAAATGTATAAATAATCTGTTTGTTAGTTTTTACTTTTAAAGACTTGTATTAGTCAATTTTATGATTATGTATTATTTTATAAATAATAACAATTCATCAAGATCATAGGTGCGCACAACCTGTTGCATTAGGGTGTGCACCCCAAAGATCAAACACACATGTGTGCGTACGTGTGTTTTGTATATACTGTATATATATACTGTTGTTGTTATTGTATATACTGTATGTATATATATATATATATATATATATACAGTATATATATATTATATCAGAGCTGGTTAGAGGGTGATCTCCCTGCTGGCACACAGAGCGATAATACTAATGCACACAGGGTCATTACGGTGTGCCCAGGCACAACCAATACACCCCATGTGCACATCTATTATCAAAATCAACTTTCATCATTCATTTACCAGCACCAATGTTTCCAGTGTCCTTCACCTAGCTGTTATTGCCTACTCTCTATCAAAGAAAATGTCAGAATGGTAAAAGAAAATGGTAGAATGTCAACAGCAATATTGTATTGTATTTTTAGATATGCATGTTTTGTATGTGCTAGGCACAAACCTAGGTAATTCAAATTTAGCATATAATGAAAAATACAGTAAAGGCTATCCTTATTGAAAACTGTAAGTCAAAATGATTAGTAGATCCACATACAGTATGTAGGCATATAAATTTATCTGAAAATCTTAACTTTTCCTATACAAGTTGAGTTTGGCGCCACCTATTCCAACCCTTTAAACTATCTAGTTGGTTTGTATGAGTGATGGGTGGTTTAAACCTCTTCACACCGGCCACACACAAATGTGCGGCCTCCCGGCGTCTGGGCCTAGACGGCGAGCGGCCGCACATTTGCGTTCTATTAAAAAAGAACATATGTGCTGAGAGTGCGCACCCTGCGCGCTCCCAGCACACATGTCTGGTACTCACGGAAAGGTCCCGATCTCCTCTTTCGATCGGGACCTTTCCCGATCATGTGACCGCCGTGACGGTGCATCACAGTGGTCACATGACCCTAAACCCCGCCCCGCCTCCCGGCTTCTGGAACCCTAAAGGGCTGGGAGGCGTGAAGGGGTTAAAGATCATTAGGTTTAAGAGGAAGTAGTGAACAGTCAAAATGTGCACATAACTTCACTTTAAAGTAAATCCATCAAAACAATTATAAAGCTGTAAATGCAAAACAATTTAAAAGTAGGAGCATAGTACTGTACATAGGCTTTGTTTTTTTTTTCTGTGAGCCTCTTAAACCTGGATCCTCAGTATGTAGATATCAACTTTATTTCCTAATATCAGAACTGTAGTAAGCTTGTTCTCCCTATCTATTGAATAGAAAGATGCTAGATATTGCATTGATGGATGTTCTCCAGAACTTGAACACACCATACAGATATCAAATGCCCCAGGATTAGAAGCCACCAGATCACTCAGTAGAAGTTTCTAAGATTTGTTGTTACCTTTACATTTTTATGCTTGAGGCAGGTTTAACACAAACAAGAAAATGTGAATGTACTGTACAGAAAGATAGAAAAACAGATAAAAACAGAACATTATCTTTCGAAAAAGTTTTGTGGTTTCAAGATGGATATTAAAACCAGTGCACATTTTGTTTGAAGGTATGATAGTGATGGATGGTGCCCACCATTACCTGTTCAGACATACTTACACCAAGGCTCCGACGATGAGCTGGAAGAAGATGATGATAGAGTACCTACACCTCCAGTGCGTGGAGTTGCCTCTTCCCCAGCCATCTCATTTGGGCAGCAGTCCACAGCGACACTGACACCATCACCAAGAGAAGAAATGCAGCCCATGTTGCAGGCCCACCTGGATGAACTGACCAGAGCCTACCAGTTTGATATTGCAAAACAGACTTGGTAAATATCAGTTAACAATCTCCAGCTAACATTGACAAGAAATTGATAAAAAAGTGGAATAAAGTTGTTTCTTTGTTTTTTTTATTGGAAGTGGTGGAAGGTATATAATCCTTGTTTGCTTTTCTTTCTTTTTTTCTTTTTTTTTTTCTTTCTTTCTTTCTTTCTTTCTTTCTTTCTTTCTTTCATTCAAATAACACAAAATTGCTCAGTACTTTAATTCTTTTTTTGCAGTCAGGTTCCCCTGTTCACTATAGCATCACTACGGTGATAAACCTTTGAAAGAAAAATAGTCCTCAAGGTATCAGTGTAAATAGGTGCTTACGAATGAAGGAAGTAAATAATTAAGGTAGATATGTAAGTGGTCAGAGGAAGCCTCGTAGTGCATCATTAAAGTATAATGATGGCCATTTTGTTGCTTTTAAATCTCAAAAGTCAGACCTAAATCTGTAACCTGCTTTTAGACTTATGTTGATTGCATAGACAAAAAGAGGTTATACACTGTGAACAAGCAACAAGCAAATCACGAGTCTTGTTGTTAGTGTGGGTAATGTGCAAAAAGCCTATAGAGTGATCTCCTATATTGGCTCACAACTCTTCTTAGTGAACAAATTGTACATTTAATGCCTTCATTTCCCACTGAACAAACTCATTAAACAGATTTACATGTGTACAGTACAGTCTTTTCATTACATAAAAATGAATTAGAAGGGCAGATCAATGAAGGTGACTACTGTATAATTTGATTTATATGGTGTTTAATATACTAAAGATGCTAGATTTACAAATGATTGAAATTTGTTACAATTTGTTACCAGTTATTGGATAATTTATGTGCATTAAAAACTTGTTGAGATATTGATGTGAGGTTAGACCCTAAATATATTCATATTTATCTTGTTAAAAAATAGAATGTACTGATCACAGAAGCCTTGGCAACAATATATCTTAAGAGAGGTATTTGTATAGGGAAAATCAAAGAAAAAATGGAAATTTCCTTTGTTTTCCGACCCTCTCTGTAACATACAGATGGTTAGTGTAACCTCCTGCATCTCTAAGATTTAGGCATGCAGTTACAAATTGTACTTGTGGCTCCACTTTCTGTTAAAATAGTGTGGTGTGACCATACATTAAACACAAAAAACAATTACATTTTAGTATAGGAAATACAGTCTAATGAGCCTAAGTGTGGAGGTGCTCTTATTTGGAAAAGGGCTGTGGTAGATGAAGTGTTTGACATTGCTGTACATTGTGATCCTATTCAGTTAAGGAATTATCAATACCATATTTGAATGATAGCTCTTGAAAATCAATTATCACTAAAGGTAAATATTTCAGTTTTCATATGAATACATATAGATTGAATCACCAAATGGCTTTTATAGTCCTTCAAGTGACAAGGGAGAACACCTCCAATCTCCAAAGAATTTAATAGATGTGTCAGTCTATTGTCTTCTTTACTTATTTGTGTATTGTATATTAACAGTCAACTCCATCCAGAAATTTCTATTTAATGATTGATTTTTGCCCCTGTCCTTATTGGTGAAATTTCTTCTAATTTCCTATCAAGACAGGAAGTGCTTGGAAATATCGCCAAAGGAAAAAACAGATAAAACACATATTCAGTAGAGTGTCTAAAGTTTAGAGCTCCTGCCAACATTTTATATTGTGATATGCAACTTTTTTTCTCAACTGGTGTTCCCCTCTAAATTGTATAGGTGTCACAGGCAAAGGAAGCAAAAGAAAATGGTCCCAATTGAGTTAGTAGTACAGAACAAAATCTAACAGAATTTTTTTCCTTTCGATAATTTTATTGAGTTTCAATACAAGTAGATACTCATTCATGCCCTTGTACAAATATAATCCAGAGACTTGAAAATATTACCAATTCATTTTGTACTTTGCCAAACCAGCTTCATTCATCTCTACCATAATGGTTAAGGCATGATTGTGACCAGGGAAAAAAAGATAGGAAAAAGAGTGTCAGGAAACCAAAAAAAAGAAGAAAAAGAAAGAAAAATAGAAAAACTATATTGTCTCACTGTTGCCTATATAAAGGTAGAGCCCAGGATTCAAACCTGGAACTTACAATCAAGCTTTGCAAATAACATCAATCCAAGGGTTACACACCTTCTCAAAATATCATTTACTATCTTTTAAAATACTCACTAATTTTTCATGGGTCATAATCTAGAATATTTTATTTTTCACTATTTAAAGGATATTACTGGACTTTTCTGTGCCCTTGCTATTGTAATTTTAGCTGCAAGCAGGATAAAAAAGATCAAGGATTGATAGTATTTAGGTACCTCATAGATTGGGTCATTGAACAGTATATGTTGAGGATCTTTAGTGACATGTACATCGGTGACTTTAAAGATAAAATTTAGCACTTGTAACAAAACTGTCTAATTCTGGGACACTCCCACCAGTGTGTATCATAGTTCACTGCAATTCACACACTCTAAAATATAAGGGAGAAGACCCTGGATACATTTTAACATGCCTAAGTAGTACTAACCTGAAAGAAATTTTAACTGTTCCTCGCTCTAAAAAAAAAAAATTATGGAATTCATTTTAGGATGGATTAAATGCGGAATATGTGCAAGCAATTGGCTTTTCAAAGGCTGAGACAGTTGAGCAGACATGGAAATTTAAATGGGAAATTGTGATTCAGTTTCCCATAAATTATGCAAACATATCAGTGACCAAAGTTTGGCCCAAATACATTTTAGAGGGGATTCTAGAAAAGGGAAAAAAAAAATGCAGGACTTTAAAGGTACATGGACACCTAACTGGTAAAGTCACTTTAAGGGTACAGTATAAAAAAACCTGATTTTACTAATTTTGTGTATGAGGTACCTTTAAAGTATAACTTAAGGCAAAACGTTTTGCAAGTTTTGGATAGAGTAGAGATGGATTAGAACACTGCTTTTTTATTTCAGTCTGTGCCCCCCTTAGGGAGATTCAACCTCTCTATTTGTCTTGTTCACCATTATCATCGAAAGTTAAAATAAAAAGAAAAAAAACTTTTGGGTTGGCCCCAGAAAAGTGATAGTGGGGACACTAGTTCTGGTGACCTGGGGGTCCCTAAGTAATTTGCAGGGATTTTCCCTTACTTGGTTTGTCTATCCAAAATGAAAAAAGGCCTATAGTTCTGCTATAAAGGCTTGAATTTTTCTTGTCTTTTTAAGTATCCTATACACAACACAGATGTGGTACCATACACACTAAGGATGTTATCTGCAGGATCAATAGAAAATTAATTGAATTTTAAAAAGATCCTTAAAAGGTTTTAAGAAAAGGCATTTTAGAATGATGTAGTTATTAGCCATATTTATATATATCAATTAAATCACTGTGTTCCAAATATATAATTATTTCTGTGTTATTAAACAAGCACACTCAAAACTTTACTGTCACAGTTAAAGTTAATAATTGAATCATGGTCTCCAGCTGAATAATAGATGAAACAAGAGCTCCTTCTTTATAAATATATAATACTGTCATTCTGTCCAGCTCATTTCCATACACTTGATAATTTACACGGCAATCTGGTATCACTGATGTAGCCAAATTGTCAGTTTCATTCTAATTCATTTTTAAACATACTTTTATTTCTCAAATTTTAGGCATTTACAGAGCAATAACCAGCCACCAATGGCACCAGTACCTCCAATGGGATATGTCTCTGGAGCATTTATCTCAGAGTTAGAGAAGGATCTTCAGGATCGTAGAGATGATGACAATGAAGATGAAATATGCAGGCCTCTCAGAGGTCTGGATCATACTCCAGGTTCTAGCATGGATAATCTGGATAGCTCTGCTACAGGTATTTTTTGTTAAGTTTCATTTGTGTCATTTATGAGTAGATTAGAAAAGTTGTGCAAAAAACAACATTATGAGAAGTTCCTTTCAACTGAATCTGTATCACATACTTGATTCATTTTACAACTGAACCTGTTTTACAGTATTTATTCACTCTTGGCAACTTTTATATGCAATGTCGTTGAACGCTTGGCCTGTGCAAACATTCTGCATAAAAATGTGTAGACAGAGCCACATGATACAAATAAGCAAGATTCAAGCTTTGTATTAGAAATGATCCTTTATGAGCCTGGAATTTCAGTTTTGGGGTGTTTTTGCATGCTAAACATAACTTAGCAAATAGCTAAGTACACAGTTGAAATATGTTTAATGTGCATGCAAGAGCATTTGTAATTATGTCTTGTGCGTCAAACATTCCTACCCAGGGGCGGACTGACCATTTGGAAACTCGGGCACTGCCTGAGGGCCCTGGGTCAGTAGGCGGCCCCATGAGATGCCCCTGGTACCTTTTTCATAGGCTTTTTTGAGTTTGGGCAAGGATACAGGGGCCCCATGATCCCCTATTACCCGGGGGCCCCATGAGTTGTCAGTCCGCCCCTGTTCCTACCATATTGCACAGTCAGACAAGTGATACCACTACTTTATTCTTCAGCCTTGTAACTTTCTGTGATCATCATCACACCCCTAAATAATGGTCTAATGAGCTTGCAGGGAACACAGGAAGCTGTAAAGTTGAAACAAGAAATTGCTGGATGTCTTTCATGGCTGTGTGGGATGAGAGGAGTATGTAAAGCACAAAACCAGATGAATAGTATTACAAATATTTCAACAGGTAAAACAGTTCATATTTTAACTGAGCTGTTTTGTCGAAGGTCAACTTCAAATCTCTTTTTGACTATTTATATCAATAGACACCATTGCTAAAATATGTGCCCCAGAATTTTTTTATTTCAAGTTAATTGCAGTGATCATTACACCAAATATCCTGATGGATTCTCTATAATGCTTATAAGAGCAACACCTTTGCCGTGGCCTTTTGAGAAGTAGTGCAGACATAAACTAAGGCAGGAAAAATTGGATCTTAAAGTGTCAAGATAATCATGTGGAAGAGTCAACCTCTTGCTACCTTGAAAGTGTCACACAAAACTGTCAAAGCCAAAACTGAGATTTACTCTGGCTTCCTGAGTTTATGAGACAAGAAGTAAAGGTATTTCTCTTTAACTGCTTCCCAACCGCCCTATAACAGATATACTGCCACAGGGTGGCACGGGTGCGCAAAATCAAGTATATATACATGATTGTGTATTGCCAGGTAGGGGGCACACGGAAGTCGCGCTCGCATGATACCTGCGCCGCCAGTCGCGGTCATGACTGTCCTGGCCGGTGGTTACTTGCCTACGCCCAGTGATTTCCGACGATTTCTGATGGAACTGTTTTGTTTACTAACAGTTCTCTTCCCTGTCAGCTTGGGCACACTGCTTTGGATGGCTGTGCACAGCACAGCCATCAAAAGAAGTGTGATTACAGCAAAGCACACTGACACCACCCCTAGTAAAACACTCCCAGCACACAGTTAACCCTTTGATCGCTCCTCATGTTAACCCCTTCCTGCCCAGTGCCATTAGTACAGTGTCAGTACAATGATTGCCGCCATTAATAGTAAATATAAAAAATAGAAAAAAATCCCAATATATATACCGCCATTTGTAAACTCTATAACTTTCATGTAAACCAATTAATTTACACATATTGGGATTTTTTTCAGCAAAGACATGTAGCAGAATACATTTTGACGTAAATTTATGACAAAATTTGTTTTTTACATTTTTTTTACTGGGCATGTTTAATAGCAAAAAGTCAAAAATATTGTTTTTTTTTCTCAAAATTGTTGGTCTTTTTTTTTTCATAGTGCAAAAAAAAAATGCACAGGCGATAAAACATCACCGAAAGAAAGCTCAATTTGTGGGGAAAATAAGGGCGTACATATTTATTTGGGTGCAGAGTTGCATGACCGCGCAATTGTCAGTTAAAGTAATGCAGCGCTGTAATGCAAAAAAATGGCTTGGTCAGGAAGGGGGGTAAATCCTCAGGAGGGCAAGTGGTTAATGGGCCGATAGCAAAAAAAAAAAAAAAATTTTGCTTTAAATATAATTTAATAAAACAAGATAGGTAATGCCTTTTTATTTAAAAAGTTAATAATTTAACTTCCATGTTTTTGAATGTGACAGCTTTTATTTGCTTGTTTATCTGGCCCTTTCTCTGTTCACAGAACGTGTTTATTGCATATGCCACCATGCAGATATTCACAATCATTCCAGTTCATGGACTTCTTATTATGCATTCATTTGAAACATCAAGTTAAAGTTGGTTTTTGAAACTATGTTTGATTTGCTACAAAAAGACAAGACTCTTCATGCATTTTAAACAACGTTAACACATGAAAGTAGGCTTTCATCAACAGATCATTCTACTGGGGGAAGCAATCCTATGACATGCGAGGAGAAAAACTTCCAACAGACAGACTTATAAATAGTTTTCCTCTTTAATTAAGAACTAATGTTATTCTCTTTCTTAAAATGATCAGACAGAGGCAATGTCAGCTTGTGCATTAAGCGTGCCATTTTATGCAATATTCACATATTCTTTAGGGCAGATTTAGGAAAAGCTGACTAAAATGTAGTTATGTATTTTAAATATGCCACAAATTCAGTGATATCTGTCTGAATAAATGAATTATAATGTCTGATCCCATATGAGCTGACACATTTCTAGATCTGGCCATAGAAAATAAATGAAGACTGGGCATTAGATCATTGTTCAATAATTTTCACATTACCCAGATAAACACTGAGATGCATAGGTTTGTATCCTGAAGGCTGGCATCTCTTTGTGCACACCCAGTACTACTTGGCTCATGAAAATAATAACCTATCAAGTCTGGGAATAAGCTGCCCACTTTCAAAGAGTTTGCTCTGGTATGTCTACTGTTAATCATATACATCTTGATTGTTGCCCAATTCTATTGGTGTTAGCAAGAATAGCTATCAATCAACTAATGCTTGGTGTCACTGTAAAATACAAATCATTGTTAGGATATTACTGTGGGAGGAGGGACATTAAGGGTGTATTGTTCTACTTTCTGGAAAGATACCATGGTTGTTTTGTTATAGAGTATAAGTAAATGATGCACCATAATCCTGCTAGTATGAGCCAGTATGGGGTTGAGTAGTTTCCCAGCTGAGGGAGCATGGTATGGATTATTCCAATGACATATATTTCAAATGCTGTTCTTTTAAAAAGCACCGCATCCAGCATGTAACATGTAAGAATAGAACTTGTACCTGCTGACTAGTATAATTAAAAGATAAGTATGGGAATATATAAAAAAAAAACAGTTATACTAACCTAGGTGGATGCAGCAACATTGAGAGGTTGAGCCAGCTGTCTGTCCAGGCATTTGAGTGTATACTGACATTAAGGTTGGGATCTTTCCAGAGCCTGGACCAGCTCAGTGATGTCAACTGACAGCAGACTTTAGTCCGTTGTCAGCTAAAAAACGAGTCACAGGAGTGCAGAATGCAGTGCACTCTTGTGATCCATAGGAGAAGAAGGGCCAAAAGAAATTTGACCCTATTTCTCCTTCAAGGCTGACTTTTTTTTTTTGCATCTTGGTGTGCCATATTCCTGTTGTGGGTACAAATGATGGATTCAGTCCACAGCTAGGGCAGTAAAATGTGGCAGTGGCAGTATTGTATAGATCAGCTATGAGTGGATGAAATGTGGGAAGTGAGGAGGCCATAGCAGAAGCAGTGAGCATTTGATAGGAGTAGGCCTTACTGTGCCATTATGGAGTCCCACAACAGACCAAAACAAATGCCTGAAAAACTGGTATCCTTGTTTCCCCATCCATGTGTGTTCTTCATAAGTTATCTCTTACATTCACACAAAGCTTTTTTTCAAACACTAAATATGCCAATGGCACATGCAGCCCATTGCAATCCAGAGATGCCAATTTCAATGCATTATTATAAATGGAATTATCTTGCCCTCATCTCCATACATAATTTACAGCCCAACTTTTTCCATTCTTTTTTTTCTTTCATTTACAATCCTATTACCTCTTCTACTGATGGACTTATAAGGATACAAATTTCCTGTTGCACTGTCCCTGTTTGTATGTGTAGCCCTGTTTTGGGGGGGGTTATGTGAAATGACAGACACCAAACAAGCTATGGCGCTAACCTGTATATGAGTAGGCAATCCTGAGCCTTCGCTATATGGAAGAGGGGGGTGTGATAATACAAATGGCAGTGCCTCCACCTAGAATAGGGATCCTGCAATTGAGGAGACTCACCCCTTTCTAGGAATGTAACAGGTAGACAACTTAAAGTAACTATACATAGCAGTATTAATGCACCCAACTTATATTTCTAACATGAAAACATGTCACCACACCTGTATGAGATTAATGCAAAGTTTATATAAAGCAGCCACATAAAACAGGATGCATAAGAATAACATTCAGGAATTACAATTTAGCATAAATTGGGAGGTTGCAATTATACCCGGGTATATGTGCATGTAGTATACAGAATACCTCCAGCCATGGGTTATAGCGCAGTCCGGTTGCAGGGGCCCCTGGAGAGGTGAGAGTCCATAAGATGTATGCTTCCACTTTAGATGCTGTGATGGCGTCCAAGTAACATGCGGATGATTGCACTGCTTGTCTGAAGATCAGCGATGCATCACCTAAAAGGATAAAATGCCCTATCTATCCTTACTCTTAGTCCCTATCCCTAAACTGGGCTGTCACTGCAACCGGGCCTCTATCTGTCTAAGTGGCCGTCGGATGCCTAACCTACCTCTAGCCTAATCTATCCAACACTCCCTATGCTAATCCTAGCTAAAGAGAGATCCAGACCAATAAGGCTCTTCAAGCAAAGAGGCTGCAAAGATACACTGCAATTAACAGAAAGTTCACCTGACAGTCGTATGCAGGTGAAAACACTGATCTATATATATATATATATAGACAACTATAAGGATTCTGCTGTGTGTAAATAGAATAATGATAATGAACCACAAATCTCTCTCTTACAGAAATATTAGGGTTCCTATACAGAAGTTGAAATATAACAGAGGCAGACCTAATCTGCTTCAGTAACAACTACATAGATAGCATCCTTGTTAATCTGGATCATTACTCACAGAATCACCATACAGTTCTCCCCAGATACACAGCACATGGCAGGCTGGAACCCTCTGCCTGATACTTCCTGGAAAACAAACTATATAACATCCTGGGGTTTCTTGACCTCTTTGTAGGGGCAGGAAGCACACCTAGGGACTTGTCTGTAATGGGACCTCTATGGTAGTGGCTGTATATGGATGTAAACAAACCACAACTAGTGTATAAAATAACAGTTCCCTACATATGCATGATTTAGCCTAGGTTTTCATACACTGTAACTTCTGTCCAAAATTATACATATCTGCAACCACGAACACATCCAAGCAGAACCCTGCTCTCTAAGGCCTGGTTCACACCTATGCATTTTTTAATGCTTTTTGAATTTTGCAGAAACTCTCTACAGTTCATTTAACATGGTTTCCTAAGGGACATGTTTACATTTATGCATTTTCAGCGGCTGCATTTTTGGAAAGGGTCAGGGACTTTTTTTCCCGCAGCAGATTTCAACACGCATTGGTGTGAACCAGGTCTAACACACAGGGTTTTTTTTCCCCAAGCAGGATTTGGTATCACACTGACATGTTAGGTTTTCATTTCCTGTCTTCAGGGTTTTATTTGGTGATGCTCATTTTCCTGGCAGCAGGTAAATAGCAGGAACAGTGTTGACTAAAAAGAACATGGGTGTTCTCAGTGTGCGTTCCTTCCAATAGATTTTCCCTTTAAGATTAATGTTAGAGAAGAAGACACATGAGTGATTTACTGCCCAGCACCAACACTCCGCTTTCCCATACAAATTTGTAGGAAATGTGTTATCTTCTCACTGCAGGTCGCAGTACACATTCTGACTTCTGCTGAAAATGTGTTTCTTACATAAAACAAGGCAGCAAAGAAACTGTGTATTATTCTCTGTGCAACAGACTCTGTCACCAGGTATCACCTATGTGATTAAGGGCTGATGGAAGCAGCCTTCCCTGACCCGTGCTGCATACTAGTTCCAGGGCAGCGGCTTAATAAAAAGATTTACCTTTTCTGCCCCAGAAGGCACAAGGCTCATAAATCAGGGATTGGATGCTTCCATCAAAGTCTGATCACACATTTTTTGGGCTACTGAGACCCTCTTTAAATTAAGCATAAAAAGGCTGATTTTACACTATTGAGTGTTCACATCCCCGTGAGATTCAGGGGAATTAAAAGAAAAATAATATCTCTAAAGCTGCTTGGGTATTGGTAGTGAATATATACTAGGACGATAACTAATCAGTTGCAAAGTGTTCCATTTCACATTTCAAATAGGCAAGCTTTAAGGCAAGTTGTATGAACAGTGATCCATAGCTTTTCTCTTCTTTTATAACATAAATAGCAGCCATGGACTAAATACAGAATGTCTACACAAATGGGGATGGCTCCCTTCCAGTCGCAATTAAGTAATGCAAATCTATCAGTAAGTCTATTATTAAGGCTAACAGGATACTGACATCTTTTTTTGGATAGAATAGAGAATGTACTGAAAAGGTTGTATAATTGATATGGTTAATATATATGTTATTTTTTTCTTGACATGAAATATGCTCAGCAGATATACCTATGTAGAACTCACTAGACCCCTGCCTTTATTTTTAGGTTCTATGGTAAATGGATGGGGGTCTGCATCCGATGAGGATCGAATATTTTCTAGTAGATCTAGTGTAGTTAGCTCTTCTGATGACTCGATATTTACGAGCGGCAACTTTGCACAGTCACTGGTTGCAGCAGCAGATAAAGCTGGTTTTACGCTCAATGGAACCAGCCTGTCCAGAGCAGGTTGGTAGCTTCAGTCTGGTGCCTCTGGCATGAGGGATGGCTTTGCTCTTCTCAAGCTTTCTTTCCTTTCCATGAAAGTGTGTCATGTGTTTGGCCTAACCTAACTTGCATGGCATTTGGTGGATGGAAACTTACATCTTGTGCAGTCATGTTTTCACGGGTGCTCATGAACAACTGATTCTTTATATTTGGATGTATTTAATTGCCTTCATCACTGTTATTATGCTTAACGAATTGTATAATGCTTCTCTTCTTTTGCATACGTTATATATGTTATATATATAAATATCAACGTATAGGAAATATACAGTTATGTATTTTTTCCCTGTGTTTACATCCAAAGAAACACAGATTTTTAAAGCAAACATTTTTTTTCCATTAAAGGCTGTACATTTTTTTTATACTTTTGCTAAAAGTCAGGCAGGGTTGATTAACCCAGTTTTTTCCAGAACCATGTCAGGAAGAATTTTCCAACCCCCTTGGTGTGGTCTTTTTTTAACCATCAAGAGTTCTCTATCTTTTCCTATGAAGAATCTCCTGGAGAGTGCAGGACAAAGATAAATGTTATTATGCACCCTCTTGTGAAATTTCAAAATGAAAATATGTCACGTTAACAGGCTGTTGTGACTAGAAGCCTGGCTTTCTGTCTGTTCTGGAGGAGGTCTCTCCGACAGGGTCCAAGGCAATGTAAAGGCCCAAAAGCATCTGGCCCTGCCCTGGTCTAACCAAAACAGAGACATCTATTTAGCAGGGCAAACATTTGTTGATTTGCACAGTACATTAATCTATAGCAACCAGGCAGATTTCCAATTTACTGATCCCAGATAAGTGAAAATATAAGTTATATTTTTGTTGCTATGGCCTACTTTATATTACTCTTGAATAATCCCAGTGACCTTAATGTAATAACACAGTGAGCAATATACAAAGTACAGTAACCGACAGTAAATCATCTAAAATCTGCTATCTTGGCTAAGAAATGTGAGCTAAAATCTGGTTTCTGCTGTTAACTACTGTACCTCTAATGAACTTACCATATACCGTATTTTCTGGCATACAAGATGACTTTTTATACTTAAAAACATACACCAAAAATCAGGGGTTGTCTTATATGCTGGGTATACAATGTGAACCTTTAGTTCATTTGGGCCAAGCTGGCTCAAAACGAATGTCCCTAATTTGTCATCCCGCTGAATGTGCGGTGATACTGTATGTATGTAGCTTCGGCTACGTACAGTAAACTGCGCTGAGCCAATCACGGCGAGTAATGTATTCTATTAATAAATACAAAGCCTGCTCGGATTGGCTGAGGTTGTGACATCATCAGCCTGCCTCTCTAACTCAGCCAATCCGAGCAGGCTTTGTATTCATTAATAGAATACATTACTCGCTGTGATTGGCTCAGCGCAGTATACTGAATGTAGCCGAAGCTACCATACATACAGTAGTACCGCACATCCAGCAGCTGACAGATTACCGTAGGGACGTTTGTTTTGAGCCAGCTTGGCTCAGCGCGGTATACTGTATACTGTATAACTGTAGCTACCGTACATACAGTATTACCGCACATCCAGTGGGCTGACAGATTAATGGGTGTATATTTAATCAAATCTGATGTTTATTCAAATCTGATGTTTTTAAATGGTGTTGCCTCGGAAGAGGGGAAGTCTTATAAACAAGTATAGCCCAAAACCTGTGTGTTTTAACTGAAAAATTAGGGGGTCGGTTTATACACCCAGTCGCTTTATACACTGGCAATTACGGTATATATTAAAGTGCTGTGTTTTTGTAACCCTTTCAACACAATTTCAACACAGATTTTTTTCTTCTTTAAAGCAGAGCTTGTGTGCTGCTTTACAGTTCTGTGCAGGTATTAGATGTTGCTTAAACCAGGCAACATTTAATGCACTTGTGGCTCACACTGCACTATAATATCCCATCCCTTATATTTCCACACCTTTTTCTGAAAAAAGATGAAAAGAGAAATCTAAAATATGTTAACAAATGACACTGAGTTGCTTTATACTGAGATACTTATCTTTGGGATGTTGGTGTATATCCACCCATTTGTTTATGAATATTTGATGTAAGACAGGTTTGTAGAAGCTTTCAAATCCAGTGTAGCCTCTGTTCTGCTGGCTAAGGGCCTGTGTCAATGGTTATTTTAAATGATTTTGCTTTCCCATAGAAGTCTATGCTTATGCAAAACCTGCAGGTCAAATACAGTTCACAAGGAGTTCAATTGCTGGTCAAATGCAGCTATCGATGAATTATGAATGATTTCAACAAAGTGCCTCAAACCAATGACATCAACACAGGCCATCAGGCCATTAATCTATTTGTATAGATGTATTTTAGAGCTCTATCGGTATGCAAAAAAAAAAAAAAAAACACAGAAAATATGCAAATCCATTAGTGTGGTCACATTTCATTCTTTTCTTTTTTTATAGGCAAAATGCAGTCTTTTTCTCAAAAGCCCAGACCAGCCAGCCCATTCTCTTCGGAGAGTAACTCTTCCGCCATAAATCCTAGCCAAAGGCCAAGGCCTACTAAAAAACACAAGGGAGGCCGTATCGACCAGCCATCCTCTCTTCGCAGGGAAGGAATGGCAGATGGTAAGCTAATCTGCATCATTTTGCTTTTCAGGGTTTTAATATAAAATTTAAAAAAAAGACCTGGAACTCAAACTTGTGCAGACTGTCCCACTTATGGTATTTCTAACTGAGTATGGCTGAATGTAAAATTGATGAAGGGTGACAGACCTGAAACTTCATGCTACACTCATCATATAACACTACAATTTATGAAATAGTGTCTTTCAAGGTGAACTGATTGTGACTGAAAACGTTTAACCAAAAATGTATAGAAATGTAAGAAAGATATCCTATTTCCTAATGTATTTGTCATATATACGTTTTTTGTGATACACTGTAATATATGGCTAAATATGTTACCAGTTTTTCCAAATAAAAGATCAAGAGAGTATGATATTGCATTCAAGATAGATCACAAATGGTCCAATGCAACATTTTGGAACTGTGCAGGGATCCTCATCAATGCTAATGTGACAGAGGAGAGTCTGTGTTGAAATATTTAATTGTACTATTTGTGACCTGAAGTGTGACCTATTTATGACAGAATAAAGTACTCTTTTGGCCTGTTAAATCACCCACAAACATAGGCTCAATTCTGTATTGTGTACTGCATGGATATATCTTATGTTCTACTGTCCACATTTGACTTAGGTTTGTTCATTGGCACATATGATCTTGCATTCTTACAGTATATTCATGGTCTTGGAAATTTATATATTGGAAAATTAAAACTTGCAATGTAAAAGTTCGACCTAAGCACAGGCACTGTGCTCATTAGCAAGAAAAACCTTTTCTGTGCTCCTCTCTAAATTTTGGTTTCACATAACTACTGCAGCCTGACCTTTACTTCATGGTCCTAGAGTCCACTAACTGTTATGCACCTGTGCCAATGATCACTGAGGCAGTCTTTACCAGCAGGGGCGGACTGACATTCGAGCTCTCGGGTGCTGCCCGAGGGCCCAAGGTCAGTAGGGGGCCCCATGAAATGCCCCTGGTACCTTTTATAGGCTTTTTTTGGGTGTGCTTTGAGTGTGGGCAAGGACACAGGGGCCCGTGATCTCCTATTGCCCAGGGGCCCCATGAGTTGTCAGGCCGCCCCTGCTTACCAGACAATGGATTTGCAGGGCTAAGCCCAGAAGTTAAGAAAAGGTAAGTCACAGTAACAAAGGGAAACTAAATGAGAGAGAGAGACAGAGATGAATCTAATAAAGGTAGTTGCAAGATTATTGTAGTATCTGCTCTTAGAACTTTCACTTTAAAACATTCAACGTGGTTCGCTTTAATTTTTAAGATCAGTGGTGACCTATCCAAAGTATCCTGTATTCACATTATGTGACCAAAACATTTTAGCAATCTGGGATGGATGGATATGTTTTTCTTAAGCTCGAAGGAATTCTCAGAACTTTTATCCAGCATTACAGTACATACTGATTCTTTTGTCACTCAAGTCATCTCTGTTGCTTTCCTGTTCAGATCTGCCACCACCACCAGAGCCTCCACCTTGTCAGAGTTTAAGACAGCAACTGCCCTGTCACGTCCACCAGAGAGGAAAGGCAGTTCCCTCGAGAGGCACACGTCAAACATGGATGACACAAAGGCGTCTCTGGAACGACATGGCAGAACCTCCTTAGAACGGCAGCGACAAACACAGGAATGGCTTGGCTCCACAGACCGGCAAAATAAACAGACATTTGGATCAGGTAACAGTAAGTCATATAACATTAGTGAATTCTGGCAATTGATATAATAGAACAAGTGGATACATTTTAGGGTAGTTAAGCGTATAACCATCTTGGAACGTTTTAAGAACCAAAAACAGGGTAAACTTTTTGATCCCTTTTGAGAGACATTTAAGCTGTTTTGTTTTCACGTGGTTTGCTCATTTTTGAAGTAGTGAAGTAGGCAAACTATACAAATACCCCCCCCAAAAGATCATTGATTATAAAATATATATTGGTTGCACTATATTGACTTGTGTCTTTTTTCATCCAGACTAATTATGTAACTATATGTATCATAATCACACAAAGATGAAGGCTTGCTTTGCTCATATTTTTGGCTTATCACTGTCTACACAGCTCTCACACCTGTCAGTTAATGAGCTCATACCTTGTTATGCTTTCCAGTGGCAGTGGTACTCTGAAATAGATTTACAGAGAGAAAAAGAGAGAGAGATGAGGTTGCAGTCAGGGCCATCTTAATAGCATCATGGGCCCCTGGGGAAAATAATGTCACTTCCAGGGAGATGGTGACATGTGACACGCATAGCGGGATGCTGCAAAAAGTGGGGTGTTGCTAACTTATGCTAGGAGGGCACAGTACAGAGGGCAGGAGGACACAGTACAAGGGAGGTCAGGAGGGTATAGTATGGGGTGCAGTAATGTATAATACAGATATGGTCTCCTCAAGCGGAGCAGCACAGGGAAGCTGCGGTCACAGATTTGACCTGTTCTGGTACCTGTCACTGGGCTAAATCTACACTCTAACGACACCACTTCCTCCTCTACACCACCTTGCAGTTTCCAGTGCTCTTCTGGCAATTTTCAGAGATTAAGGAAGAACCCCTGAGGTGGAGTATCTTATTGCTGCTACTGCTTGTGTGGGCAGGATATGTACTTCTCTGATTCCCACTGGCCCTCTTCTCCTATTCATCCCTTGTGATTAGAGTAGTGCACATGCTGCCCACACAAGCAGCAGCAGTGATAAAATGCTCCACCTCGGGGGTTCTTCCTTAACCCCTACAAAGTACTGGAGGAAACTGCCGGGGAGGGTGCAGGTGCCCCCTATGCACCTGGGACTCATGCATTAAGATGGCCCTGGCTGCAGTAAGATGTTGACTCTGATTGGTTAAGCAGCAGTAATGCTTTATAATAGACATGGGAAGGGTTAAAACTGTTATTTTGTTCTGTTTTCTACTGGGAAGATTTTTCTTCAGTTTCTGTTCCAGAGATGCAGAAGGAAGAGAGAGGAAATCTCTAATAAAAAGTGTCTCATCTTAGACAGTAGTCGCCACTATAAGTTTTCCCTCTTGAAAGATTAACCTTTAAATCTAGTTCTGGTAACAAATGTAACATTTTGGATTTCCCATGACTTTCTATCTTGATGGGCACGACAATAGGATAGCCTGTATCTATCTAGAATCATTTCCTAATCTATCTAAAACTAAACAAGAAACAAAATGGTCTGTGAATCCACTTTCAGGCACACTATAATAACATTGTAATATCGGTCGACAGACTACTTTAATCCATGAAAATGTAGGGTCCACTTTACTGTCAGTTTCTTAACCCCAAACACAAAATGCTTGAAAAAAAAAATCTCCTAAAAATGTTTAAAAAAAAATAATTACCTTGGCACTGGCTTCTTACTCTTGTAGGAGGTGCTTCATTCCTGGGAAAGCTGGGATCTCAAAATCCACAAAATATTCAGCTTTCTTGGGAAACTGTGGTGAGTCATGATGACATTACCTGCACCTTTAGTATTGTGGGGCTGACAGTATGGGGGGATTTACTAAAACAGAAGCATGCAAAATCTGGTACAGCTCTGCATAGAAACCAATCAGCTTCCAGGTTTTATTGTTAAGCTTAATTGAACAAGCAGGGGTGGACTGACAACTCATGGGGCCCCCGGGCCATAGGGGATCATAGGGCCCCTGTGTCCTTTCCCACACTCAAAGCACACCCAAAAAGCCTATAAAAAAGGTACCAGGGGCATTTAATGGGGCCCCCTACTGACCCCGGGCCCTCGGGCAGTGCCCGAGTACTCGAATGGTCAGTCCGCCCCTGTGAACAAGCTGAAGTTAGAAGCTGATTGGCACAGATGCACCTGATTCTGAGTGCAGCGGTTTTAGTAAATCATCCCCTATATGTTCCTAACCTGCTATTGCAGCGCAAACAGTCAGGGCCATTGAAGTCTACAAAGTGAAGCAAGCCATGCAGAGGGCAACCATGAGTTGCACTGGAGCAGATTACAGGAAGAGAACTCATTCTTTTTAAGATCCTAATCAGTTCATTTTTGGAAAATATCTCACATGCTAGGTAGACAAATCCATTAAAAATGATTTCCAGTTCCTTTCAGGGTCAGCTGCTGCATATCCTGACACTGGTAATCAGGTAAAATCTTAAATTAAAAGTGTGAGTAAAGCCTATCTTCACACCCCTAAGAATCCAGCAATCTGCAGATCAGTGTTAGGCAGCGAGAGCCAGCAAGCTCCTTTACACACTGCAAATCTGATATATGTGAACACAGGAACAATTCCCTTTAACTGTGGTAACCTGCTTCAGTGTTGAAAAGTGAACAGTAACGTTCAATACAAACAACTGAATTCACTATTGATAAATTCACATATGCATTATAATACAGATCCCCTTGTCTTTATTATCTGTCCTATAATCCGCTAAAAGCATTTTCTGCCACATCATCAAGCAGCTTCAACATAAACCTAATTAAGGGATAATGGCAGGTTGACAATTACTCCCAGTTCTCTATTTTAAAGCATATCTATAGTACTGTTTTTATTTTTTTTTCTATAATTGCACATTTAGAGCCCCCCATATAATGTTCACTAACAGAGCTTGTGTTTAAATTAATGGGAATATTTTAAAGATCAGCGCTTTCTACAGATTTAGCAAGAACAGCAATCAAGATAATTAGACAGGTGTGGAAGCTATTTCAGTACAAGAATGCCCTCTCACATTTGGCTGCTAAATAATTTAGCATGCAGCTTTAAAGGAATATTAAAAATGATGTTACTTTCTATATCTAGTAAGATAATTTGATATAAGGGTCATTTTATCAACGTTAGATATGTTTGGATATTGGCATAGACACTGATGGGTGCCATTACACCCTTGCTTTCTTATTCCTCACAAATTCCAGTGGTGAAGTATGCACAAAATCTGGAATCCCCCATCCCCCCAATCACAGTAAAAATATTTTGAAGTTGTCACCAGTGCAATTGTTTTCCCTAATTTTTTTGCACATCATTTTTTAATCTCTGATAGCTTTCTGTTTTTTTTTATACTTTTTATGGGTTTTACAAGGTAAGAAAAGTAAAGTAAAATTGACAAGGGACAGAGACAGCACTAAAAAGAGGACAGGTTATATAACTTCCCTTACTCTGCTTTTTTTTAATGGCTGTGTTACAGTTGGTGAGCTATCCCCACTTGACAGTAAGTAAGGTTAGATCTCCGTAACAAAGATCCAGGTACAAATAACACTTGACAGGGTTCTCCCTAACTCTATCTAAAGCTGAAAAAGTGATCTTTGATTGACTGACTCTTGTGTCTTGCTCCAGATGAAGTGCTCATGCCATATAGCAAGCCAAATTTCCCATCGCCAGGGGGTCACAGTTCATCTGGTACAACGTCTTCAAAAGATTCAACAGGACCAAGAAAAGGCGACATCATGAGGGGTCACCAGCGCAATGCCATTGATTTTCTGGACGTAGGATATTTGGGGCCAAACAGTCAAGGACAGTTTACAGGTGAATTATGTAAGTAATTAAGTCAATAATACAAAAATTATAAATCTATGTAGAGGCGGAATGAGTTAATAAGGCAGGGCACAGGCCAAGAGTGAAGTACATAGAAACTAATAGCAACCTGATCTTATCTTTTATCAGTTTACAGCAGCCAGAGCAATGAAAGACGTTTGCTGAATTATTGCTATAGTTGCTGTGTGAAGGCTTACTCTGAAAAACAAAAAAAACACGTTTATTGCTATACAAAATACATGGGAAAACTTGACAAAGCATACAAATGCCTAAATCAGGTGGCTTCAAACTTTCTAACAAAGGGCCAGTTTACTGTCCTTCAGACTTTAGGGGGGCTGGACTGTGGCCACGGCAGCAGAAATTGCCCTGGCATCAGTGAGAGTAAACAGTTTATCTTTGGCATTAGACGAGGAATAGTACACCTTTGTTGGTGTCAGTGGGAGGAAAAGTGCCCCATTGTTGGTGTCAGTGGGAGAAATAGTGTCCCATTGTTGGTGTTATTGGAAAGAATAGGGCCCCATCATTGATGTCAATCAAAGAAATAGTGCCCCATTGTTGACGTCAGTAACAGGAGTTATGCCCCATTGTTGGGGGCAGTGGGAGAAATAGTGTTTTGCATCAATGAAAGGAAATTTGCCCCATAGGCAGGATAAAGGCAAACAAATGGCAGCAGTTTGGAGACCACTGGACTAAATGCACACACATATATACTGTATATATATATATATATATATATATATATATATATATGTACTGGTAGCAGTTTAAACATTTATACACACTGCATTTCAGCAAATTAGTGGATACTCAGCATAATAAACCACCAGTCCTGCATTTCTACAAATCACTTTCCTCAAGGTCAAATGTTTGCGCCTTTACTATACTGTGTAAATAAAGATTATTTTGTTGTTTTTCTTAAGTCTAAAATGTTTATGTGGATATTGTATATAGCTAATTGCCCCCAAATCTTTATATTGTTTCCCTACAGCTGTCACATTTTTATTTTACGTTATAATGTATTTGTTTAATGTATTTTGCACCTTGCAAATGTATAAGCCCAACTGCAGCTTATACATATTAATGCTTCAGTCATATAAAAAGGAAGCTTGGCTGCAATACTCTTCTCCTCTCCTGTGCTGCCCAAGCAATATTTCCATTTGGCACTAGACATCCTCAGTCTTCCAGGGTTGATGAGGCCTAGCTAACTAAGGACATCCTGTAAATGCAGGACATCATGGACCCCCACCCTGCCCTCACATTATATTGACATAAACTCTGCTTTCTGTAACATTGAGAACCACCCAATGCAGGAGCAGAGGTGAAGAGTACGAGTACTCTGCAAACCAACATGACTACATCTGAAAAAAGGTAAGTATGACAAAAACTAATAGGAAAAAAAGCTGTTGAGGGTGCATTGTTAAGAACAGAGAATGGTAGGCTGGAATGGGGCTTTAAGCAAGAGCCACTAAGTAGGGGCTTTGATCCAACCTTTCAACACATGAATCCTGTAGACATGATTCTGCAGAGATCATCCATAGCAGCCCCTTGCTGCCACACCAGTGATAGACTTCTGAGTAGGAACATTGTTGAGCAACATTACTAAAAAGTTGCAGTGGAAGCCTCACCCACTTTTCGTATCATCCATTTGTGGTGTTGCAGAGGGTGCAGAGAAAGCTTCTCCACCATGACTTACACGTAGATTGTATTAAATTATATTCTATGTCTGTGCCAAAATATATTTTGTCCAAACCACTCCTTAAAAATAATTGCATCTACAACTGATAGTGTAATTGAGTCTGAATTAACATATACTACTGTATGTAAAAGTGGCTGTTGTTTTAGGGGAACAGTTGTCACCTGAGCAAAAGGGCACAGACACCAAAAAATTATCAAACGTTCTACCACTTTGTCACTCTAATGACAAATTTCTCTGTAAGTGACACAGATGGCAATACATATCTGGAAAAAAGACTTTACCTCTTTCCCAGTCTATTTAAACATAAAAAGTTTTTGGTGGAGGTAAGCTTTAAAGAGATTCAGTCACCATGCCCATTTGATGGAATCTATTTAGAGTTCTACTCCCTGACCCAGATAATTAATCTCCAAACACCTCTACCACCACTCCTTCTTTCATAGCAATGGCCAAAAAATACCTGGTGTTTCCAAGTAGAGATCAACTTGGGTTTGGTCCAAACTGATTTTGGTCTGAACCCAGAAATTAGTTTTACTACTGGTCCAATGAGCTGTGGGTGGGAGTTTCTCCTTTGTGCAGCTGCGTGTATACAAAGGGGAAGGGATGTTCATGACATTATTGACCTAATATAAGGGAATTTCCCTCCCACAGTTCATTGGGCCAGCAAAGACACAATCAAGTGATATCTTTCCTAGGGTTGGGGTAACCTGAGTTTGGACAGAGTTCAGATCTTAACTCCTTCCCACCAGCTGTACATATATATGTGTCCTCTCTGCAAGTGGGCTTTAAATGTGTTCCTGACACAGTTACCTGCACTAACGGAAAGCTTCCAATCTCTATTTGTGATTAGAAGCTTTCCGATTATGTGGCCACTGTGACAGCCAATCATGGCAGTCACATGATCAGAAACCTCATCTCTCGGCAGGTGAAACCTCTTAAAGGGCTGGGAGGTGCCAACACTAAGGGGTTAACTTAGCTCATCCCTTCTTCCAGTATGTGAAAAGATACCTTTTCCCATAAAGTAATACTTGGGACTAGCAGCCAACCAAGGGGGGGGGATGTAACTTCTGTGGTATTTTGTGGCAACTGCGTGATAGAAAGGAGCAAAGAGTGTCAAAGAGTGGACATTAAAGACACTCAGGCAAAACCAGAATTTTTAAAGGTGATTCATTTCAAAAGTATTGCTGAAACAAAATTAAAAATGTACAGAATTCATGAAGATTTAAAAAAAAAATCAGTTTTACCATGCCAGTACAGCATATGCTTCAGGCATTTATTAATTTCTTTTTTTATTTTCTGCAGAGTACTGAGAAGCTATATTACAAGCTGCTGTATAGACCATTTGGTCTGGACTGATGAAAGTCAAGAGGAAACTCAAAAACAGTGCAATGGACTTTTTCATTATTTATGTACGATTGGAAGGACTGAAAATGCAATGTAAAGACACAAAAAAGTCACACATATCCACAGACAATTTACTTTTTTTTTCCTTCTCTTATATACACACCATCCACCTTAAATATTTCTTGCCAGAAACTACACAAAAGAGGAACAAGGAATCACCATCAAGGACAAAAAAAGCATTTTGGCTTTCAATCTAATTTTCTTTGATTGCATTCCTATGCAAGCTTGCCCTCTTTTGTTCATATTATTATTATTCTATTTGTCTGTCCTTATTGTTATATTGTACTATATTGTATGTGAATTAATAGGCTGTCGTGCCATATAAAAAAAACGAAAAGAAACAAAAACATTTTTTTTTTTTGTGTAACATTCATGTTTAAATTTTTGCACTGCAATTTTTATTTGACGATAAGCACAAACCTTACTCCTTGTGACACGGAGAGATGAGACTGAATGTGAATGGAGTTTTCTGTACTTTTAACGTGAACTGAATATTGGACACATGCACAGGTACCGAATCCCAATGGGACTATGTGAGAGGTATTATGATGAAGATTAAAAAAAAAAATTCTGGCAAACAAAAAGATTGGAACAACAAGGATCTATAATAAGCAATATGTTTTTTTCTTGCTTTGAATATGGTGAAACTCAATGTCATTGTTATATGAGAGTATGAATACATGTATTCACTTGTGGACCTGCATGTATGTACAATATATATTTATATATGCGCATATATTTTTAGATATGCACATATATAAGATACGCACATTTGTGTATATACATATATATTATGACTAACATCTTTTCTGGTTAATGTTGACTTTTTTGGACTTTGAATATTGTCTGGGACAGAACCAGGAATAAACTGCCTCTGTATAGTAAGATTTTGATTGGTCTGTTCCACAGAATAAACAAGCATGTAATAGGTAGACCAATCATAATCTATTTAGATAATTCCAGAAAGGAGCTTCTCCTACTAAAATGGCTGGCTTCTGCTATTACATGGTTGGTTGATATGGCCAATCAGAACCTTATTGGGCATTGTCAGCTCAAAGGTAGGCTTTATGGTGTGAGCCTAAAACACTTGATCCTCTTCTGTTTCAAGCGCAAGTGGAGATGTTGCACAGAGCAGCCATTTGAATTCCAGCTGTCATTTTTCTATATAAGTTAGAAAAAAAATCTGGTTGCTTTGTGCAACACTATGATTTTATATCTTTCAATTTTTTTTGTATCTTATAATCTAAGCCCTGTGTGTATATATATATATATAAATATAAGAAAAGGATAGGACAATGGGAAAAAAATCCCTGTCAATAAAAAAAGGGTACTTGTGTTTTTTACGTAAAGTAGCAAATCTCTACTATTGGTATTAAGGCCATGGAAAGCCAACCATTGTGGTAACCTTTTGAATGCCAGTTTACACAGTGAAGGAATACCCATTATCCCCTAATACAGCGATCTGAGGATAGCTGTAAGTGCTATAACAGCACTAATTACATATCAGGCCGGGGTGGCTGTGTTAAATCAGTTCCTTTCTTCCCCTCAATGGCATTCTTAACCTTCCAACACTACTGCTACTATGACTAGACCCAGGTGTGTCCATAGAAAATTCTGGGACAAGTCCAATTGTTAATACTCCTGAGAAGCTTCAGTCAAAGGTACCTTAATGAGAGCCTTGCCAGATCACGCAGCCATAGTGGGAGAAAGTCATATCATTGGCTGACTGCAAATTATTCTGATTGTTTTTTATTTGGGTGCATTTATCAAATATTTAAAAAAAAATAGTGTGCAGAGAAAACTATGGAAACCACAGAGATTGTTGCTATATTGACTTTCATTACAACCACTCTAGCGCAAAGGAGTTTCCTCCCAAACTCCAGTCTTGTTTATCCAATTCGAA